CACACACATAAACACACAAAATCTCATATGAAAAAAAAATCTGAACGATCCATGCACCAGACACTTCAAGGTCACAACGCCTTGACTTCACTGCACAACAAAAAAACTTCACCAAACAACAACCAATAAAAAAAGCAATTAATACGTCATAGTGGTGGGGGGAGGCCGAGAATCAGCTGTAAACAACTACTGGTTAGAAATGTTTGTTTTGAGACTAACTCTTTTCCTGCTTTTTAACCTACCGCGCAAGCATAAGCAAATATGAATATGAGCCAAATTGTAGTTATGTTGATCAAGTAAGTATTTTTTTAACTTCACACTGTATTTTTCGAATGTTTCATTCAAGATAATCGTCCTCGTCATGTATAGTTGTTTTTTTCAGGATAATGAAAATCTTTCCTGTGATAAAAGAATACAAAAACATCCTTCAATTAAAAGTATTGAGATAAGCTAGGGTCTTCCAACGGGGACTTCCAAACTTTGACAATTGATAACGGACATCTTGTGAAACTACTTCTGAACTATTTGCAATGTGGTAGATGCATTTGAGTCTACTGGTTCAGTAAACGATCGACCAACACCCGTACGTCGACAAAACGCAAGATTTGCCGAAAACATCGCCACTGTCTGTGAGAGTGTGCAGAAGAATCTGAGGCAGTCAATTTCACGTCGCTCACAAGAACTCAGCCTTTCGAAGGCCACAACTTGGCAAATTTTGCGTGTAGATTCGACAAAATTTAACTGACCCACGCCCACGAACTGAAGGTAAACAATGACGTGTGTTCGCTCATTTTCAGCGATGAGGCCCATTTCTGGATGAATGAGTTAGGTTAGGTTGGGTGAGATCTAAAGTGAGTGGGTCTATTCGACCCTCCACCGCACCCAGCAAGGGTTTATTGTGGCTCACACCTACTTACACTCGACCAAATAAACCCAGCGTCTTAACGAAGCCGATTAGTTTGTATAGTGAGTGGTCCCTTAGGTCATATGGTAAGAGTACGGCTCTGCCAAACTCTAAAAACCTGATTCGGTCCCCAGTGGGGCAGGCACAAAGTATGTGCTCTGCTGTTTCATCATTATCCAAACAGAGGAGACACATACTGTCTTCCGACAGTCGGAGTCTCTTCATATGATGATTCAAATGACAGTGACCTGTAAGAAGGACTGTTAGACATCGAAGTGCATCCCTACTGTAGTCCAACAACTGTTTGGTATCAATCTTCGAAGGGCGAGCCGATCCTGGAAGATTGTGCCAGAAGTCAATAAATCTTCTTGCCATCCAGGTGTTCAATCTTGGTTTGGCAAAGCCTAAAGAAATGCCAATGACATCTTCTGGTCCGATAAAGCTGCTTGCAGCACCCTCCTTTGCAAGGGAGTCAACAGCTTCGTTGCCTTCCAGGCCAGTATGGCCAGGAATCCAGACCAGAGACAATAGGTCTCATGACAAGTCATTGTTTGATATGGATCTCGGGCTGGAAGCGTCATCGGTCCATATTTCTTTGAGAACGACGTTGGCCAGGTCATCACTGTCAACGGCGAGTACTATAGGTCGATGAACTTCTTTTGGCTTGAATTTGAAGATCTGAACACCAACGACGTGTAGTTCCAACAGGACGGCACTACGTGTCACATAGCTCATGTCTCATTGGTTATTCTGCACGAGCGATTTGGATACATGATTATGTCATGTGGAGATCGGGCGAATTGACCCCGTTAAACTTTTTCCTGTGGGATTTTCTCAAGTCGCACGTGTATGCGAATAAACCACAAACCACAACGGTCCCCAATGCCAACATAACCCATGCCATCAGTTAAATTCAGCCTGATTAAAGTCTATCCAAATCCAAGATAAAGTAAAACAAAACGAAATCGAAGCGTTATGTTCATGTAATCGCCCAGTGTCAGATGGAAAGGGCATCGCTCATTGGTGAATTTGCCTTCTTGGTACGAGTTCGGTACCAGCACAGGGTTGTAATCANTGTGCATTTCACTCGTTATTATAAAAAAGTTTTCCTAAGTATGATATAGCATTTGCGATCAACAAGATGTTGGTTCTGAATACGACCCTGGCTAATTTTTGGGATTTTCAATATCACGTGCGTAGGGCATGTCAATGAATACATCCACTCTATCTTGGATTTGAATTTGCTTTAGGTCTCTCAAAGAAATTAAAAATTTCGATCATATTTCACACACACTTGTTTCATGTTTCATTTGAATTAAAACATAGGAAGCGCTTGATGAAAGACCCTATCTTATTGTGGAGAATTATTTTTGAAGGAAGGATGAACGTTTTTCGATTTCCAAAAAACCATTATATTTATGCGAAAAATAAAACTCGAAGTCGTCTACACAATTTAATGTCACCTCCAGATGTTAGAGCGGTGAAACCATCAATCAGTACATGTTTCCAACCTATATAGGTTCATCATCAGCTATTGTACTGATTGATGGTTTTACCGCTCTACCATCTAAGGGTGACATTCAATTGTGGAGACGACTTTGAGTTTTTATTCTTCGCAAATCTACTGCACTCCACTTTGATATATAATGGACTTCTATCAGAGGTTCACATTATTTTTGGTTGCAGGTCCAAAGCCTCCAAAGTCACCAGAAAATGTTACAATCGGCCAACTGACAAGGGAAGATAGAAGTTTGAATGCGGAAATGAGATGGTCTCCTTCCGTCTCAGATATTCCGATACAAAAGTATATTGTTTTTTGGAGTAGAAGGCTCTTTGGATCCAAAGCTCTGGACTCTGTTCTGGTTCATCAGCAAGTGATACCCGGGGTGAGAAAAATTCAAACGTATTTTCAACCTCAGTTCATGCATACTTTCATCCCCATTCCATTTAGAGTGCCGAATGAAGTTGCTCCTTGTTCATTCCACCACATCAAACATGATTCAGAATCAAACTTAGGATTTCGATGCCAAAGATAGCACATTTTTTACTCGAAGTGTTATTTTCAATGAAATATCTCAAAATAACTATTCACTTTTATTAAATACAGTTGAACTAAAGAATGTATTACACAAATGAAACAGTATAACTCTTACTCCTCAACAGGTACCTACACAAATACATATCCACTATATAAAAATGGATGTTTGTTGGTTGGTTGGTTGGTTGGTTGGTTGGTAAGTGATAAACTTCTACATCGCTCAACCGATTGTGATGAAACTTGACGTGTATATGTAGTTTTTCATAGAGAATGTTTTTAGGCTATCAATTTTTCTGTAACTCGCCACTAGATGACGCTGTAGAACAATTTTTTGAAAGCACTGTTCTATAAAGCAGGGCACGCCTAAGTTCGTTGATTCTGATTCTGTCAAAACACTGGAACAGCAACGATACAGCAACATAGTACTAGTTTCAATATAAATATGAAAAATGTTGGTACAGGAGCATAAAGAAACTTTCCCTCGGTTAAGGCAAAGGTGCAATTTTGTTCCATCCTTTTCATGAAAGAGGACGTACGCTTCTCCACTAACAAGCGATTTTTGTAGAATTGGTGACACCTGTGAATCGTTGTATTTGTGCCACGTGCCAGTATGCGGGTGTCTGCAGTATGCTGTATAATGTCCTCTGTAATGTCATCCGTCGTCACGTTATGCGTCGCCTCGCCATCAATCGGTTTTACAGCCGCACATAAAAAATGAGATGAGTTTTTTATCAAATTGAAATACCTACTTTCTGGTGCGGATTTGAGAGATTTACAGTTAACTTGTTCTTTTGCCTCTCACGTATGGAGCAAATAATTATGAAGAAATGCTCATTCATTCTTCTATCTATTCTAATATTACGAAAAGAAAATATCTGCCTATTCAAAAATGAATAAACACCAAAATGACTTGATTGATTTTGAAAATTCATTTATTTATAGGAAACTACATTACCAGCCAGAAAATCAGCCCGATTTTATATTTAGTAAAGTCAGAGATGCCAAGCAAAATTGCAATAATGTACCCAAAAACTTGTCTATATGTTTAACGTCATGACTGATGCAAATATTAATAAATAAACACAAATGGAGCTTCCCCCACTATATTTCAATATAAATATCTAATTATGTTTAGATGATCGAAATAATCTTTCAAAATTGAAAGTAACCCAATATTCATCAAAGTAATTGTTTTCAGATAGATATTTCTCAAATTCTACAACGTATAGAAGCATAATAAAGATATATTGCTCTCATTTGATGTGAAATTTACATTTTCCTCAGTTTATTCATTTCTTCACGGCAGTCATCTCAGCTACTTGTTTTTTTTTATCTATTTTACTTCAGTTGATCTGAAAATTTGAGTAATCTCCTGATGACGTCAATTTGGTAAGTGTAATTTTGTTCTGTTTTGGGAAAGGTGTTTTTCAATAAATTAATTTCATGTAAGACGTTGCAGGGGATGGACTAGTTTATATCACAATGTGAATAAATAAAAATAAATAATCGTATAAATTAGCCTTTCGAGTTATTGAATCAAACACAAGTAGTCAGAAGAAGTTAATATTTTTTGGAACATTTATTAGTTTTATGATACAGTCAAATTACAATTTTGGTCATCTAGACGCAAAATATTCCCTCTCGTATATACAATAATAACTTTTCTTCGTGTTACCCTGTTACATCATTTGAACTCTCTGACACAGTCACATGCTACAGTAACAGGAACACTTTCTGATATCCAAGAATCTCTCAGTAGTTTCGGAAGAGTCACAGAGGAGGTTTCGTCAACGGTTTTTGGATCTTTGTATTTAAGTACCTGAACGACATATTTCCTCTCGATGCAACTGTAGTGTCTTTCGCAGGAGTCAGCTTGACAGGATCCAGTTTGGATAAATCTGAAACAAAATGAGTGAAAGTGCAACTGGAATTTTTGAACCGACAAAACAAACACTCAAGAAAGCATCTGGAAGAAACTTCAAAAATGTTAGTAACCTCCTAACAACCGACATTTCTTTTAGATATGAATCGAAAGAAATAACATCCATAATTTTTTCCAAGGACGAAACACAGGCACCATAAAACAATCCCCGAGGCACTCTAAGAGAGGTGCCTGTGCAAAAGTAGAGACATACGTGGGATTTGAATGGCTGGAGATTACATTCAATTGGAAAAACGTTCTCAGGAAGTTTATTCCACATAAACTCAGTTCTCTAAATGAAGGAGTTCTTGAGCAATGGAGTTGGAGATGAACTGAGTTGAACCTCAAAAAATTGAGTATATAACACAAAAAGTTACAAATCATGCAATATTACAGTAATGGAGTACAGAGAAGGAAATTGGACGATCTAACGCCACTTTCCCTCAATGGTGTGGTCATTCCATTTGGAACGGAGATGAAATATTTTGGAATTGCCTTGATAAAAGACTCACCTGAAACGCTCACTTGGAAAAAGTTTTACACAAAGCCAGACTGTCTCTATGGACATGTCGAAGGATTTGTGGTAAAACTTGGGGTTTAGGTCCCAAACAAATCCATTGGATTTATGTGATGATTGTCAGACCAATGATCACGTATGATGCAATTGCTTGGTGGCCGAAGGCTTTACAGAAAACGACCCAAGCGAAGCTCTCTGGCTTACAGAGACAGGCTTGTCTGGCTATGAGTGGTGCCATCAGTACCACACCGACAGCGGCCATGGAGATCCTTCTAGATCTACCTCCTCTTCACATTTTTCTGGAAAGAGAGGCTAGATGGACTGCATACAGACTTATGCACATTGCCAATTGCAAAAATCAATTCAATGCAGAGTGCAACAGACTGTTGGTTGACATTGGAAGTCACAGCATTCTGGAAATGACCTCTGACTTCATGCCTCCAACTGTCAACTACGAACTGCCTTATAAAGTACTATTCCCGAGTAGAGAGGACTGGATCCTGCGAGAGAAGGAAATATTAAGAGCAGATATTTGTTGGTTTACAGATGGATCAAAAACACCTTCCGGTTCCGGTGCAGGTGTTTTCAGTCGCAGACCCATGACAGTGTTATCTACCTGCCTAGGAACTTATGCGACTGTATTTCAAGCGGAAATTTACGCTTTTGAATTGTGTGTGGAGAGATTGGATAAATCCAGCCTCACTCACAAGTCAATAAAAATATTCTCGGACAGTCAAGCGGCGTTGGAAGCTCTTGGCTCCCACCGAGCAACGTCTAAATTGGTAGCAAACTGCCAAAAAAGACTCTCCTCGATAGGAAGACTAAACAGATTGTCTTTGGTCTGGATTCCTGGCCATACTGGCCTGGAAGGCAATGAAGCTGCTGACTCTCTTGCAAAGGAGGGTGTTGCAAGCGGCTTCATTGGACCAGAACCTGTCATTGGCATCGCTTTGGGCTTTGTCAAACAAACACTTAACACCTGGATGACAAGGAGAGTGATGGAATCTTCCAGGATTGGCTCACTCCAAAGCGTTTATACACCTTTCGAAGCTTGATTCCAAACAGTTGTTGGACTACAGTATGGATGATCTACGATGTCTAACAGGCCTTCTTACAGGTCACTGTCATTTGAATCATCACATACAGAGACTTGGACTGTCGGAAGACAATGTGTGTCGCCTCTGTCTGGAGAATGATGAAACTGCAGAGCATATACTTCGTGCCTGCCCCGCTGGGGACCGAATCAGGTTCTTTGAGTTCGGCAGATCCGTACTCTCACCATCTGACCTGAAAGACCACTCACCATACAAACTAATCGGCTTCGTTAAGAAGCTGGGTTTATTTGGCCGAGTGTGAATAGGTGTGAACCACAATAAACCCTTATGGGTTGTGGTGGAGGGTCGAATAGACCCACTCACTTCAGACCTACCTACCTACCTATGATGTTGCGTAAATCAATTTTCAAATTGTCAGTGGGCCTCTCAACGAGTGCAGTTACACTACTATTTCCCTGTGGACTGATGATAGAAAGACCCTGCCGACTGTCAGAAATAGTGATTTTCGAATAACTTCTGCAGGATGATGCCCTAGAATCAGCCCCCACCCGGAGATCTGATTTGGGAGCTATTTCACTTCCGGAGTATTTTGATCCTAGGTGCGTCATCATGCAATTTTTCCTTATATTCCCTCCCTTGAAAACAAAAACAGCCGGTACAACAACTAGCAACTACCATTTATACTAGCATCAACCATCTATTATTATTATCGAAATCCCATTGACAAATATTGCTTTCATCAGTATCATCTTCGTTTTTTTGGAGGTCAATTCACCCAAATTGTCCTAACACTATCAAAAATTCTCACATTTGTACGAGAGATATTACTCACACATAAACACTGAATATAGTAACGGAGTACTAACCAGAAACCAGTAACATCAAATATATTTGCATCAACTTTGGAATCTAGACAAGAATGCATCCTAAGCCCCTAGATGTTTTGAAAATTTTGGATGGAGCAATAAAGGAAGAAAAGATCAGGAGAAATAAAGAAGATACCAATTTCACTCTAATGCTACGCTGATCATATGGTAATGATTGATAAGACTTAAACCTACGAATATGCAACATACCACTGATAAATATGAAAATTGAAGGAAACAATTACAATGATGATGAGAAGACATCAAAAGCACAAAAAGGAAGTGAACAAGAGAGATTCACAAACTACAAACATTCATACCCCTAGGCCACATTATATCACAAAATTGAAAAGAATAAGGGATGAATGAAAAAAAAAACAAATTGTATGATTATATCAAATATTCAAGACAAAACTAGGAAATACCTGACGATATTAAACTACAGAGTTTCGAAAAGCAGTTTTTACCATTACATGGAGAGACACATGTTTGTAGTGAGATACTATTCTAACATAATTCATGAAAAAAAAATTCAACAAAAGGAAAGTATTCCTATATTTTTTATAAATTATTTCTGTCCCACTATCACATCACTTCAATAACTTGAATTGAAATAACCGTCAAATATTATTGTTTTTGGAGTCCTAAATGATGAAGTTATTGCTCAACTATTTTGTCTGAATTCTTTTGATAATTTAAGAAAAAACAACTATTAAAATAAAAACATCAATAAAAATCAATTGGCGCTCCAGGGCGACTTCATTGATTCCAGTGGCGCATTTGCTTTTTCAGCTGCAGGAAAACCTGGAAAAACCTGCAGCACCACATCATCTGAAGATCTTGATCTGCCAATGTCCTCTCTCTCATAGAAATTACTCAGAATAGGATAGCTAGACTTCAATGTATTGAACAAATCGCAGCATATACTTTTCTTAACTGATTCCAAATCTTCCTGATTTAGATCTTACAAAATATGAGAAAGAAGTTGAAATATTTCGCAAGATATAGATAAGAGGCCTTGAATATCACTGGAGGTCTTTTATCAACACCAAACCATTATTTCAACACCTCATGAGGTGTTGGTGGTGTTTGGTGTTAGGAAAAAACTCCAGTAATATTCACCACTACACCAATGGTTCCAAACAGAGGATAACACAAACATAAGAGGTATTATTTAAATTTGTTGAGAGATCCGAAAAGTTCTGGATATTTGTATTCAAACGTTCAAGTTGTATTTTTCAAAAATCCAGGTTTGCGACAAAACCAAAGTGGTTTTTCCTAAAAGATGGTACTTCTGGAGTGTTATAGTGGATCACTTCTAGAGGGGACTAACATTAAGAAAACTAGTCATGGAGAACTTGTTGAAACTGAAGATATGATTGAAAATCTCATTACATTGAGTCTTAAACTCTTACCTCGGAAAATAAAATCTTCCTAAGTCAACTGGTTGGAAATCCAAATCACAAGAGCATTTTCCCATGATGGTTGGAGTCTCAGATAATGGTCGGGATTTCGTTTTCAACTAGAAAGAACAATAAAATCATGTTTCTTTGAAAATATTATACAAACATAATAACTTGTTTGAAATTCCATAAAAGGTTGTATTTTTGGGAGAGAAAGTTTTTGGCTTTTGGTTGTATTTATTATTGAGTCATTTGATATGCAGTAATATTGTTTGCATCCAGGAAAGTCAGTGAAAAAGCTCAATTGATGCGACTGTATTAAAGCAGATACAAAGAGTGTTTCGTCAACAATATATACTTACAAAATCATTAACCATTGGGTACATTTTCTTAAAAAATTTCGGAATAACTCTGGCAATATTGCTTCGACTAATATCTTCAACTTTCTTCGTTTCGTTATCATCATAATCCATCAAGTTTTCTATCTTATTCCATCGCTCAGAAGTGAAACAATGTTGAATTTGGGTTGTTACTAGAAGCAATATAGTAAAAAATTCCTGAAAGAAAGTAAGAAGAGTTATGAAACCAAACGTACTCGTAATTTAGTGAATACGATAAAATAACATTGATTATTATTCTTCAAAAGTAAGGATTCAACAGAAAAATATTGAATAATGTTGGCAGATATGACATGAAAACAAATTAAAATACAAAACTCAATCAATATTCAGTAGCAATAGTAATTAGTAGATATTAAAAAAAATTCATTTGTTTCATGGATATTCTGCTACAATTTTGAATGAATGAATGAATGAATACGTTTATTTAGGAAATCCTAATATACATACAATAATAATGATAATAATAATATACAATAATAATAATAAATAAGTAAACAATAATAATATGTCCTTAAACAACAATAATAATAACTAATAACTAGAGTCATACATATGACTGTAACCTAACAATGTTGAGAAATAAAATAGAAAAGGAAATAAAATTCAAAGTTAATTAACTTAGATAAGACTATACTAACAATTTAAAACATACTGATACATGATAATAAATGTTAAGGTTTAAGACTACTGATGTTCTGCATCATTGAGTCTTTTCCTACAAAATTGTGTTTGTTTTAATATAGTTGTTTAGTTTAGATTTAAATATATAAATACTTTCGCTTTGTTTTATGTCTCTTGGCAGCTTATTAAAATGGTTCAAACCTTTATAAAACAATATTCTCATTGAGCTGGTTAATCTGCATCTTGGCAAGTGAAAAAGATAACTATGTCTTGTCTCGTAGTTGTGAGTACTATCACGATAAGTAATGAATTCATCAAAATAAGATAGTAACATATTATTAATAGTCTTAAAAATAAATATCATTACTGATCTATAGAACCTTTCTTGTATTGATAACCATTGTAATGCGTCGAGCATAAACTTTATGCTTGTATAATGATTACATTTTAATATGACTCTCATTCCACGATTTTGTAGTTTTTGTAAAGTCGAAATTTTGTTTTGATTTCTACTATTTAGTTGATCGGTAAACGTGTTACGAGTTATGATTCAAAGAGTATTTATTCTCTGTATCAATTGTAGATTTTTGTGAAGGAAGCATGTCATACTTTACTTACTTAATAGTGGATTGAATTTGTATAACCTTATTCTCAATGAAAATCCTCTACCTACATGGTCGAAATATTTCTACCAAACCAAAAAACAGTTCTGAGGATCATTGTAATGAAGTGAAGTTATTAGATATTGAATACAAATCTGGCTAATTTCAGATGAAATTATTTACCATATTTCGAAGATTGCGATCAACTGGAATGGTTAAATTCTATATCCTGGATGAGTATGATCAAAGTCATGTAATATGGCTCTAAGGCAGAGTCAAAACAATGAAATTTTCTTATACAGTGTGTAAAAGCTAAATGAAATAAATTCATTATTTTGGTTACTGTACATATTTTAAAAACATCCAGAAACACGTCAGATGTAAATCATAATTAAGTATAGCTTTGTGATAAATCGTTTGAAAGGTCGTTTCACTTTATATTAAAAAATGTTATCGCTTTCAAGTTAAAGTTCATTGAAGAATTTTTGAGAAAAATGAAAATTCACCTTATTTTTTGAACAGACAGTGTAGTTTCATCCGAAACTTAATTTTTTGTACTTTTACGTATCTCAGGTAGGTATCTTCGTAACACTCAGTAGTAGTTATATCTTTTTTTTAATTTGAATGAGATTTATTATCGACTAATATCACTTTTGCTTCTCTCGAATGTGTTGAATTTTCATTTTTTCCTTGTTCTCTGTAGGTCCAGGATTTTTTGCAACCTGAATTTTCTACCGCAAAATATCATTGAAAAAAAACGAGGTCAATTCAAATCATAAACTAGATTTGGTAACTTTTTGAAATAGAGAGAAATCCCTTTTAAGTTTTTCATTCCTCCGGGTTACATCACTTAGAGCACATCTCCATTATGAATATTCAACACAAATTCAAGTTTCTAACGGGAACTGAACGAATATTCGCGAGCAGAGAAACAAACGGAACTTAATATGACCCCACATTTCCGCCCAAAAACAAAGCACAATTGAACAAGCACATCCATATATTATGAGACAAGCCTTACCTTAGTCATACAAGAAGTCATTGCGAGTCGGTGAATGATGAAGTGTTTTCATATTTTTCTTTATATAAGAAGTTACCACAATAGGGTGGCTCTTTGGATAGCAGCTATAAGGTTACAGTGTCACAATATTGAATAGACAAGTAATGGATCTTTAGAGGTNGACATCTACTTGACTATGGTCATCTAGCGCCTCTGCGATATATTGAGTGATAAATATCAGATTTGACACTGTTGAGCGATTATTGACAAATCCATGCTGATTTTGAGATATCATATTTCGGATACAGGAATATATACGATTATACAAAATGATTTCAAAAACTTTTGCAAAGTTACAGAGCAATGAAATACCTCTGTAGTTTTCGATTTTATCTTTATCGCCATTCTTGAATATCGGGCAAACTCTAGCCTCTTTCCACCTTTCAGGAAATGTTCTCGTTTTTAAACATAAATTAAAGATCTTAGTTAAAACAACAGTGAGACAACCAGAACAGTCCCTGATGAAGAAAGAAGGTATGTTATCTGGACCAGATGTCATTTTGTCCTTCATTTTCTTCAGAGCACTTACAACCTCACCTTCTTCAATTGGATAGAAATTAATACAAACGTGATTCTGGTCATTATATTTGGCAATTGTATTCCGTTCTGGAGGTTGAAAAACGCTACTAAAGAATGTTCCAAAAGCGTTGACAATATCTTGCGGATTTTCTACAGTATTATTGTTAAGATATAATTTGCCCGGTATTCTGGTTGTATTATTCTTGGAGTGAATGTATGACCAGAGTTTATTGGGGTCCTTTGACAAAGAAGATTGTAAATTCTCCGTGTACTCACTATAGGACATTTTTATTTGATATTTAATAGTACGTCTGAGTCTCACAAATTCAAGGAATTCTGCTTGTGAACCAGATTTTCTATATTTTTTTCTATGAGAAGATTTTAGTTTAATATTTTTGATGATGGACGAATTGAACCAGGGAGGATATTTATGGGCATAATTTCTATAAACTGGAACATGTTCATCAAAAATGGTGAATATTTTTTTATATAATAGTTCTACAGCCATATTAGCATCTGTTACATTGGAAAAATCCCAGTTCATCTCATACAGTGTTCTATATAGAGCTGGAAAGTTTGCTCTTCGGAAATTATACGTTTTTTGTTGTAAATTACTTCTAAAATTCGGTTGCTCATTCATGATAATAGTATAGTTCATCATCAGAGCTGGGTGATGCCCATCTTCATACACTAATGGATTATAGTCACTGGTCACTTCACAATACAAATTGGAAATAACTAAATCTAGTAATCTGCCTAAATTATTCCTAATTTGGTTTAATTGTTTCAAATTGGATATTTCCAGGAAGTTTTTCATTGTTACTAGACAGGATATTGGCAAGTTCATAAATGAAATTATTATGAAATCTACAAGACCACGTCTGCAGTTTTGTATTCGACGTTTCGTCTCCCATTTTGGAGCCATTTTCAAGAATTTGATGTGGCTTGACGCCAGGGTCTCAATCTGCCTACTACCCAGGTCTCGTCTAAGATCTCAATCTGCTTACTCCTTAGATTGAACTGGAGTGTCGATGGGTGTTCGAGTATTCGGTGGTATTTATATCTACGATAGTAGACTGAAGTGGAAAGGTGGAGCCGGGACTTCGGTTGATTACCATCACCGGTCGTCTTGGTGGGAGGTGAGCGGGAAATAAGGGGTTTCCTGGCAGTTGGAAGTCTCTGACCGTCATCACTTTTGTTCAGGCAGAAAGGTCGCTTTTCAATTTCGATGGCCTTGCGAATTATTCGAGATTGTGGTGTTTTCGCTGTGGCGATGGTCTTAGTGTTCGCAAAGTCTATGTTGTGTTCTGTTTCTTGATGATGTTGGACAGGGCTGAGGATGGGTCTGACTTACAGACAGCAAGTTGATGTTCGTATACTCTACTTGTCGCACGTCTGTTGGTCTGACCTACATATGTCCTCTCGCAATCGGAGCATGGAATTTCATATATACTCTGGGATTCATTGACAATTTTGCCTTTGGAAGAACGGAGAAATGTGAAAATATGATTGTTGGCGGTGAATATCATTTTTATGTCCTGTTAATACAGTCAAGCTGCTGGAAAATAATTCCATGAAAATCAAAAGATAAATAGATGAGTACTATTCTGATCACTCCCACATTGATTTCAGTTAAGAGCCACCGGTAGACAGCTGTTTCAGCATATTGGTCATCGTCAGTAACGGGCAGGCGGTCCTCGATTGAAGACAAATTGTGAATAACCAAGAAAAGTACTTGATAACAATAACTGCGTAAACGCAAGCGAGACATAAGTGGAACCACCTATTGGTGTGACACCCAAGTTAACTTGCCATGTTTTTATGTCAGTGTTGGTGGTTCAAGAGGAAGATTGATCTTCCCTTTGAAGATGATCACTTGGTGATCGAAACACGTGTCGAAGTGTTGAAATAATGATTTGGTGTTGGTATAAAACTCCAATAATATTGAATTCAGGTAAGGTTCATATTTCTGTTTCATCATCAGACCATTTTTAGAACACCACTTTGAAAACTCACGAGCCCAACAGATCTTGAAGTTCTTTTGGGAAATTGGCATCCGCTACAAGAGTTGTATCATCCGCATACAATATAACATTTCATATGTGAGTGAATTGGTGAATCGGTATCGAAAAAAAAAACATTAAGTGTGTCAAAATGGACCCTTGTGTGGGATACTCTCAAATCCATGTCCAAAACAGGAAATTTACTCTAAAACCTAAAAATACAGTTTACTGATGACATCGGGAAATAGTGGTAACTTTAAACTGATTAAAAATGCTAGCAATTCATTATATACACATTTCTCAAGAACTTTACATTTAGCTGTGGCTGTTAGGTCTATAGTTTTTGAAAATTCGTGGATCACCATTCTTTGAAATTGGTGATACTCACCTAGTTCTCAATGCATCAGTAAATGTTCCAATTTCCACAGATCAATTTAGTAAGCGAGTGGTTCACAAATTGAAGAACTCATATTTACTTATGTGGAAGAACAAAAACAAAAAAAACTTCGCATACTGAGAAAATAAAAGTCTCAAACAAAATGGAAACAAAGATGGTGGGGGAAATGCGCGGTTTTTCTTCAAAAATTCCATACGATTTATTTCTATACTATAAAATTTCACACAAACTAGAATAAAATGCCCTCTCTAAACAACTAATACCTTTATGTAAACATTGAATTACGCGAAAGAAAAATACTCTAGAAACTTTTCTCTATTCAGTTTGTATTCCATGCATTCATTATGGCATTGAATCAGATATTTATAAGATTGCTACACAATGAAGTAAATGAAAGAGGTAAAATTTCACTTACATGAGACATAGTCATTCTCACTGGTAGACATACGATGTTCCGGAGTAAGACACTTGACTTATTCAGATAATTACGACTTCATGTCATGAATGAAATTAATTTACTCATGCCATCAATCTGTTTAAAATCTGTTTTTCCGTTAACCAGCTGTCGCACCCCTACGAACGACAACCCTCAAAAGTCGAAACTTCTGCGAGCTAAGGATTAACAAGGTCTTACCTTTCAACATGTGATTCCTAATGACAGTACGTTATGAAATTCATTCGATTATTTGATTAAATCCCAGCCATAGGACACTTGCTTAAATTGAAACAGGAATATGTTGAGGAGAGATTCATTTTTAGGAAAGAAAGTTTTTTACTTTCTTCTTCTCCATCTGTATACATGGCATGAGTAGATTAAACTCAGTCGTGACATGAAGTCGTAACTTTATGAATGGATTGAGTCCTTCATCTTATCCACATTGGTGCTGAAAGGGAAATAAGGCAAGTGCCTTATGCCGAAACATCGAACGTCCACCAGTGAGGATAACATTGTTCCATGTAAGTGAAATTTCACCTCTTTCATTTACTATATTGTGTAGCAATCCTGTGAATGATATCTGATTCAATTCTATAACGATTGATTTTTTTGAATACAAACTGAATAGAGATAAGTTTTTTTGCATATTTTAGAGTTCATATGGAAGAAGTTGTTTCGAAAGTATTTTTATTTGGTGAAATTAAACTTTTATATAAAAGTAGCTGTTTCGAAAGGACTTTTTCTTTCAATTCTTCTCTGAAAGTTACTTCTTTGCATGATCTACATATCTTTGTATATAATTAATTTTAGAGATTGATTGCTTCCTTCATTTCTTTGAAAGATAACCACATTTTTTTGTATAAAGATAGGGAAGTAGAAGTCCAAAATCTTTCTTCCCCAAAAATCATACTCTCCTGAAAATATTCCACAGTAAAATTTATAAAATTGATCATATGATCTTGACCAGAAGATTTTTATCCTCAAAAGTCGCGTGNTGAACCACCGACCAACACGGTAGTCTGTTCTACCATCACTCTGGAGTAACCATTCCGTTGAAGGTCATTTTTGATGATGCCTTGTTATTTTCGGTTAATCTTTTTAATTTTTTTGCAGGTATTTCAAATCAATTTCTATTATATTTGACAATGGACGTCCTAACTGAGGAAATTGTTTTCCTGCGTACTTCAAAGCAACGTCTGTTTTTAATTTTGAAATAGATGGACAGCATCATAATGATGTTTGCCTAATACGTTTCGTTTGGGCCGATAAGTCTCAGTTTTCGGCGTTGTTTTAACCTAAATCATATTCAGGTCTTAATATATATTAAAAATATTGAAAATTTCGAGAACGGTGAAAAATTTCACATTATCGTCATAGAAAAACCTACAAAAAAAATTGAAAGACTACATTCAATCATTCACTTACGTCACTACCCTTTACATAACCTTGCATTGAGAAAAACCAATCGATATTATCTAAACAATAAACCATTCGTCTTGAACCTACGATCTACAAATTACGAAGCGAATGCAAAATGACCTGAGCCACAGATCTTTATACCAGATAAGCGCTAAAAATTGTGGAACAAAAGAGTCAATATCGTGATATATTGTTGAAAAAACTGAAATTGGAAAAAAACATAGCAGAACATAAAATATGGACTTGGTGAGTTGCTATTGATGTCTCTTTTTGGAGGCAAACGTTGAGAAACGCATGTATTGTAGTACATAGCTTTTATTGAAGCAGAGCTTTTATTTCTAGAGAGGTCTGTATTCAAAAAATAAAGCTTGTGATGAAATCTGATGTATAAAACGTCTCATTTTAATTTGGTTCATTAAACAGCACAAATATAACATTTGAATTGTCAACAAGAAAACATCTTCATGAAATATGGTATTATGTCATAAATTCACTAATACTGTAACAGTTATCAATAAGAAATTCTTCAAATCGAGATTTAAAAATATTATTATATTTGGAGATGTTTGGATAGAGACATCGAGGTGATTAAAAACTTTGCATCCCAAATATAAGTGACTTTTTTGGTATAGGTTAGTTATATGTACGGCAGGCACAAGAAGATTTCTGGATCTAGTGTTATATTGATGATCTGTTCTATTGAAGAATTCATTTTCATCTTTGTATACATATATACACAGTTCATACAGATACAAGCCTGTCAAAGTTAAGATGACAGTTGATGTTTGCATAATAAACGATTACTAGTATGTTTTCGTGACAATGATTTGATAAGAACTTTAACGCATAACAATTTGTTCTTAACTTTTTACAAAGTATATCGACGTGTGGTTCCCAGCACAATTTATAGTCGATTGTTAGTCCAAGCAACTTAGTCGTTTCACTAGCATATACATTCATGTAATTGTCCTCAAAAATTTGAAACTGTTCCATAGTTCCCCTCAAAGTAAATTTCATCAAAGAGGTTTAAGATACATTTACCGTTAAATGATTTATTTCGGACCACTTCATTACTTATTGTATACCACTTCTGATGTTATCACAAGTTCAGTAGTATCTTCACCAGTTATGAGTAGATTTGTATCATCAGCATATGATATTATTTGGACTTCAGAGATGTCAAGAAAAAAATTAATGAGATCATTAGCATAGATTAAAAATAACAAAGGTCCAAGAATTGAGCCTTGGGGAACTCCCTGCTTAACAATGAGAGATTGGCTCTGAGTTGTATTGCATTCATTCGTGTGGCACAAATAAATTCTCCAGAAGCTTTCCACAAGTGTTGTTATTTTCCAACTTTTTTTCAGATAGGTCTTTGTTGATTGGTTACGTATAGTCATTACTATTGACCATAGAGTTCATCTCCACACAATCTATCTCCTCAACATGACAACCTGTTCAATCCATAGTTTTGTCGTTTTGTCAATAGTAGAGCTATTACAGTTTGTATTTTGTATTTTGCACAATACCTGGCAATTCAAAACTGCAACCTTGGTTTAATAAAAGTCATGAAATGAATGTATTTCTTTCTATCTATCTACCTATCTATCTATCTATCTATCTATCTATTTTTCTGTTTACCAGCTGTCGCACACTTACGAACGACAACCTCAGATGTCGAAACTTGTGCGAGCTAAGGATTAACGAGGTCTTACATTTTAACGTGTGATTCCTAACACGGGTTGGACGATAGCAAGTGAAAATCGATCGTTCAGACTGAGGCTTGAACCACCGACCAACACGGCAGTCAATTCGAGTAAGTGAACAAAGCACCCGCGTCGAACCGCCTGGCTACCGACCGACCGATCCAGAAATTGTTTTAGCTGCATCTATGAAATGCTAACCTAACAGGGTTCATTTCTTGATGTCTCTAATTTCTTCTTTTTTCATTCGCACCTGAATGTTGCTATAAAATACTAACTAGTTTCTAATTTCCAGAATCAAACTCACTTCAAACTACGAAACCTGGAACCTAACTCTCAATACTTCCTTCAAATCCAAGGACTTGCACAATTTGGAAAGCAAAGACTGAAAGGCGAGAAATCCGGTGATCTATTGAACACCACTGTTGATGGTAAGGATAAACTTTCTTTAATCAAGGAATACAGCCTACCTAGAACAATAAAAACTTCTGAATCATTTACATTCATTGAATGCTATTGATATTGAAATGTTTTTGTTACAGAAAACGACAACGCTTTAGTGCTAGACACGTCTGGAAAAGAAAAAATAGAGACTCTCCATCTACAGAAGCTGACCTGGAGCAAGGGAAAACTCACAGCAAGGATAATGTGGAAAAGTATTAACAGGACTTCGAAATCAATTGTCACGTGGTGGAGCAATGCCTGTCATGGTCGAGTCAAGGGACAAAAGCATTTCAAGTTATCCGAAGTGACCAAAGTAAATACACACTTATATCTGTTTAAAATCTGTTTTTCCGTTAATCAGCTGTCGCTCCCATACGAACGACAACTCTCAGAAGTTGAGAAACTCGTGCGAACTGAGGACTAACGAGGTCTTACCTTTTAACTTGTGATTCCTAACACAATGTTCGTATAAAAGTAGTATTTTCGAAACTACTTTTTCTTTTAGTTTGTATATGAAAGTAACTCCTATGCATGATATACGCATCTTTGTAAAGAGTTTGATTTGAATTTGACTGCTTTCTTCCTTGTTTTTGAAGTTTTCCACATTTCATGTTTGAAGATGGCGAAGTAGAAAGCCAAAAAGAACTTGCATCAACAATATTGTGTTCTTCTTTGAAGGCTTAGACGTACCCAAAAGCGTCTTTTGTATTGATTTTTTTTCATTTTGCGACTAAACTGAATGAATGGCAGAGGTGTGCAGACGTTTTTACAGTCGCTGGCTTTGTCAAATGGTACAGCCAATGGCAAATCACGGCATAATGTGGATGCGCCTTAAGAAAAAACTAATTTCTCAAATGATACACAAGAAAAACCTATTGAATGTCCCAAAGTATGAGACAAATTTTTTTCGTTTTGCAAATGATCGAGCTCTAATAACACTAGATGGTATATTTGTACAATTCAATCATCGTTTTTTATATATCTACAAATTGAAAACCATATTTGAAAAACTGTTATGAATTAGAAAGTATTCTACATGATAGCGAGAAGCCCTTACTGCGCAACCTCTTCTGCAAGCAGCCAGTGATGCAATTGAACCCAGGTTTGTATACANGATATTGGCAAGTTCATAAATGAAATTATTATGAAATCTACAAGACCACGTCTGCAGTTTTGTATTCGACGTTTCGTCTCCCATTTTGGAGCCATTTTCAAGAATTTGATGTGGCTTGACGCCAGGGTCTCAATCTGCCTACTACCCAGGTCTCGTCTAAGATCTCAATCTGCCTACTCCTTAGATTGAACTGGAGTGTCGATGGGTGTTCGAGTATTCGGTGGTATTTATATCTACGATAGTAGACTGAAGTGGAAAGGTGGAGCCGGGACTTCGGTTGATTACCATCACCGGTCGTCTTGGTGGGAGGTGAGCGGGAAATAAGGGGTTTCCTGGCAGTTGGAAGTCTCTGACCGTCATCACTTTTGTTCAGGCAGAAAGGTCGCTTTTCAATTTCGATGGCCTTGCGAATTATTCGAGATTGTGGTGTTTTCGCTGTGGCGATGGTCTTAGTGTTCGCAAAGTCTATGTTGTGTTCTGTTTCTTGATGATGTTGGACAGGGCTGAGGATGGGTCTGACTTTCAGACAGCAAGTTGATGTTCGTATACTCTACTTGTCACACGTCTGTTGGTCTGACCTACATATGTCCTCTCGCAATCGGAGCATGGAATTTCATATATACCCTGGGATTCATTGACAATTTTGCCTTTGGGAGAATGGAGAAATGTGAAAATTTGATTTTTGGCGGTGAATATCATTTTTATGTCCTGTTAATGCAGTCAAGCTGCTGGAAAATAATTCCATGAAAATCAAAAGAAATATAGACGATCACACTCATATTGATTTCAATTTGAGAGCCACCGGTATACAGCTGTTTCAGCCTATTGGTCATCATCAGTAATGGGCAGGCGGTCCTCTATTGAAGACAAATTGTGAATAACCAAGAAAAGTACTTTATAAAAATAACTGCGTAAACGCAAGCGAGACATAAGTGGAACCACATATTGGTGTGACATCCAAGTCAACTTGCCAAGTTTGAATGTCAGTGTTGGTGGTTTGACCAATCTGCGGTAGCAGAAATTTGGGAAGCTGAGTCCGGCCGTACACGCACCACATATTTGCAGTTGAGGCAACCACAACATTGTGGCCACGTTGACTGCACTTCGCGGTTGACCCAACCACATTTTTGTGGTCGACTTGCAGTCATATAAACCGCACTTGCAGTTAAGGCAACTGACATCAAAAATTGATTGCTGTGAGACCAATATATACGCGGTTGGGTACGACTGCAAGTTTGTGGTTAGTGTACGACGGATGCCGCGATGACACCTCGGCGGAGATCAGCAGCAAGTTGACTGCAGAAGCCCGTTTTGACTTTTGTGAACGCTCGTGTACGTGTAGTACTACAGTATTTCTTATGGGCGGCTTGAGTTCGCTGGAACGCGACTGCAATTGTATGGTCGATCCGTTCGCAAAATGTGGCTCGTGTACGGGCGCTCTAACCTGGAATGCCATTGGAAAATGAATCACATGTTTCTAGAAATGATATGAAATAGAGATGAGTACTATTCTGATCACTCCCACATTGATTTCAGTTAAGAGCCACCGGTAGACAGCATATTGGTCATCGTCAGTAACGGGCAGGCGGTCCTCGATTGAAGACAAATTGTGAATAATCAAAAAAAATACTTGACAACAATAACTGCGTAAACGCAAGCGAGACATAAGTGGAACCACCTATTGGTGTGACACCCAAGTTAACTCGCCATGTTTTTATGTCAGTGTTGGTGGTTCAAGAGAAAGATTGATCTTCCCTTTGAAGATGATCACTTGGTGATCGAAACACGTGTCGAGGTGTTGAAATAATGATTTGGTGTTGGGATAAAACTCCAATAATATTCAATTCAGTTAAGGTTCATATTTCTGTTTCACTTCAAAATCATCACCATCATCAGACCATTTCTAGAACACCACTTTGAAAACTCACGAGCCCAACAGATCTTGAAGTTCCATTGGGAAATTGGCATCCGCTACAAGAGCGGATGCCAATCCGCATACATATAACATTTCATACGTGAGTGAATTGGTGAATCGGTATCGAAAAAAAAACATCAAGTGTGTCAAAATGGACCCTTGTGTGGGATACTCTCAAATCCATGTCCAAAACAGGAAATTTACTCTAAAACCTAAAAATACAGTTTANTTCTTTTATATAAAAGTAGCTGTTTCGAAAGGACTTTTTCTTTCAATTCTTCTCTGAAAGTTACTTCTTTGCATGATCTACATATCTTTGTATATAGTTAATTTTAGAGATTGGTTGCTTCCTTCATTTCTTTGAAAGATTACCACATTTTTTTCGTATAAAGATAGGGAAGTAGAAGTCCAAAACCTTTCTTCCCCAAAAATTATACTCTCCTGAAAATATTCCACAGTAAAATTTATAAAATTAATCATATAATCTTGACCAGAAGATTTTTATCCTTAAAAGTCGCGTGTTTTATATATATACCAAGAAGACGAAATGTGATCACTTTTCCACGTCTCATTGGTTCGGAAGTTACGGAGATAAATATTTACCTTTTTCTTTTTCTTCATAAAAACAGACGGTTTTCTAAGAAACACTTCTGGTAGAATATTATCTCGAAAGCAGTTCAAATGGTGGAATCAAGACGAGAGCACGTTTCGAATTTGCCATAAAAGTCAGCTCATTCGCTAAAACTCCACGCACACGTCTACATTGCACGTAAAATATTATATCAGTTTTGTCTCACGTAATAACTCAATTTTATAGTGGCTATTAGTGTCATGTCGGCATATTTTGTCTAATTACACTTTCATTCTTTCCACTGGATGCAAGATGCAACTATCGCGACCAGTGGCGTTCGTTCGCGTTTAACAGGAAATCAACTGATAGAGTAATTTTTTTCTCTGACTGTGAATTATAAAATAATTGCATAACAAACACCTGCTTTTAATTACGAGCAGTTCTTACTCCATACTGAATGAATCAATTACATTCAGATATCTTGCCTTCGAGTACCATTCAAAAATATAGCTCGTTAAATTCTATTTAGAACCATGGTTTTCGAGTACATTTCATATCATATAGAGAATTTTTTCAAGAATTTAAACGATGAAACGGGTTCATATACACTTCCATTATTAAAATTTCTGTGATATCAACATGAAAATGTGTATTGCAAGAGATATTTCAAAAATAACGTTTTATTGCGTTTTGTGTTATTTGGATCCCATGTATAATCAATTCTCCTCTTCAATGCATTTCTTACACTTTATTCTTAGATTTAGTTGTCGGAAGTGAGTGTGATTTCACTTTCAATCACGAATAAATCACAAACTGTTTATACGTTCCGTGAATTTTACAATTTGGCAATGTTCATTATTAGTATTGTTTCTATTAGTCAATCGAACAAGAAGCGGGACTAGGTCTGTGACGTCACGAGCCTAGAAAATCCGATTTTGAATAATCAATTACGAGAAAACAACGCCATTTGAAGACCTGGAATAAAGTACACTATTTTCCAATTTGAAATTACTACCAAATGAACTGTAAACCAAAAATCATGAAACAAGCCCTTTATAAGTATCCGTATCATGGAGTGACATGCTGCAAGTTTATGAGAGGATGGGTGCAAAGATTGAATGTGAATTGTTATATCTGCATGTGTAGGTTTTTGATATATTGAAAAATTGTATATGTTGTTTGAGAGGCGGATATTGAAATTTAGGATGTGCGGTGATTGTGATCGTTTTCCATTTACATTGTGAATTCTATATTAGGATTAGGGCTGTTCAGAAAATATTCAAATCTTTAACGTGTCAAAGCTGCACTATGGCTTGAAAAAAATTCAGTTCTGAGTAAAGACCATTTTGATGACAGAAAAATTAAATGGTTGTTTAATATCAAAATATATTTCTTCTAATACCGAGAAATTCATCACACTGTGCATCTGCAAAAAAGTTTTTTATATTTTCTGCATCATCGATATATCGAACAATGTTATTGTATATTATATGTTATCAGACAACTTTTCAATGTTTTCGAATTAACAGATGATTTCGTTTCAGGCCAATTTTTTCATCCTGTACGATCTCCAGTTCGACTGCCGTTACAGAGTGAGTGTCAAAGACAGTTCTGCAAAACGTTCCAAAGCTGCTCAAGATACTTATGTAACTTTTACTACGCCGAAATGTAGTACTTTCAAAAAAAGTCACAGAAAAACAAAATGTAGTTAGTTTTTAAAAGTTAGTAATAAGTGTTTCGATTTTCGATTGTGATAATTTTTTTAATGTATATTTTATATTTATGCAATAAGAATCGCTGTACTGTGCTTCAATTTTTTCATGACCTGTCCTGTTCAAATTCGTGGGTGTAATTGGTACTTTTTGGATTCCAATTACTTTCAGAATGAAGACGAGAAGGAGAGGGTATAAAAATTTTCAATAAGAAATAAACCATCACCGATTGTGCTACACTTTTCAAATTCAGAAGTAGTTTTCTTATTACTTCTGATGCACTGTTTGGAACATTTGGTGTAGTAATGAATATTACTGGAGTTTTTTTCCCAACACCAAACCGTTATTTCAACACCTCGACACGTGTTTCGATCACCAAGTGTGCATCTCCAAGAGGAATATCAAATAGTTTGATTTCTTCCTCTTGAAGATGCAAACATGTGTCGAGGTGTTGAACGGTTTGGTTGAACGGTTTGGTGTTGGGAAAAAACTCCAATAATATTTACCCTTCTCATTAATAATTCATTTCTATTCCTGTTTTTTGAGATGTATAAACGTCACTAGAACTTATTTATTATTACTGTTGTCTTTCAGCTCGTTTCTAATCTAACAACTATTTCGAATTTATTTGGTGGAATTAGCAGACAGTTACATGAATGACGTCTTCATATAATACTTCATTGTAATATTTTTCCTGAACAATTCACACTACCTAATTATCATCCATGATAATAACTAGTCAGTCTTCACAAATATTCCAGTCGCGTTTCGCTAATAATGAGTGATTTTTTTACTGGTATATTTTTGGCAACACTGTTTTTGACAAGTCACGCGTGAATCGTGTTATTGTCAAACTTGTTCAGTTTGGTCTATAATTTAACCATGAATCGACTTACGAATGAACAATACTTGCAAATTATTGAATTTTATTATCAAAATTCATGCTCGGTGAAGAAAGTGCATCGTGAAGTTTTTCCAATTTATGGACAGATTGTCGGCCTACTGAGGGAGCTATTCGGAAGCTTGTGACTAAATTTCGAACAGTTTACATTATTGGACATTAAACCACCAATACGCATATGTAAAGTGAGGACCGAAGAAAATATGGCGGCTGTATCCGCCAGTGTTCGTGATGACCGTGAAATATTGCGGCTGTATCCGCCAAATGTTCGTGATGACCGTGAAATGTCGATACGCCGCCGTTCGCAGCAATTGGGCCTCTGTTACTCCACTACGTGGAAAATTTTGCGAAAGGATTTGGGTGTAAAACCTTATAAGATACAGCTGGTGCAAGAATTGAAGCCGCACGACCTTCCACAACGTCTAACATTTGGTGAATGGGCGCTGCAAAAGTTGGAAGAAGATCCACATTTTTATCGAAAAATTGTGTTCAGCGACGAGGCTCATGTCTGGTTGAATGGATACGTTAACAAGCAAAATTGCCGCATATGGAGTGAAGACCAGCCACAAGCATTGCAAGAGCTACCGATGTATCCCAAAAAAGTCACTGTTTGGTGTGGATTATGGGTCGGTGGCATCATCGGGCCGTACTTCTTCAAAGACAATAATGGCCGGTACTGACTGACGACTTTTTGTTGCCCAAAATGGAAGAATTAGACATGCCTAACATGTGGTTTCAACAAGACGGTGCCACATGCCACACTGCTCGTGAAACAATGGCCCAATTAAGAGCCGCCTTCGGTGAACGGTTCATCTCACATTTGGGGCCCGTCAATTGGCCGCCTAGATCGTGTGATTTAACGCCTTTGGATTATTTCTTGTGGGGTCATGTTAAGGCTCATGTCTACAGGGATGAACCAGCAACGACTGATGCTCTGGAAGCCAATATTGAAGCATTTATACGTAAAATACCGGTCGATATGTTAGAGGGAGTGTGCCAAAATTGGTCTTTGCCCATAGGCCATCTAAAGCGGAACCGCGGACTACATTTGCATGAAATCATCTTCTAACATTAAATTGTATTGATCGTTCTATCGATTCCAATATTTGTGTTGTTTCGAAAATCAAATCCTATACCTCTTAAAAATCACCCGTTACTGTACCTTCATCGGTAGTAATGGCCGATTACTGCCGATCGAGCTATCGGCTCAGGTAGAATTCAGATAGTATGAACACGCCTGAGGAAGCTATTGTTTAGTGAAACACGTGTTGCGGTTTTATAAACTGTTCAGTTGAGTCTTCCTTTTATTAATCTTGCCTCATTTTTATTCATCTTTTATTCATCTTAGTAGTACCATTATTATCTTCAAAACATTGTCGTACATTTTGGAACACTTGCGGTATCACTTCGCGACATTCGTTCTCGCAGGTATTCCAATGAGACGAGAGGAGTGCAATACACTTCATTTCTGAAGTACTCAAGTACTTGAGTACTGAAGTACTCAAGTCAGGTTACCGAGGAGGCCACTCAATTGCAATGTGGCGGAACACCGTTCATTCTCTATATCAGTTAGAGCTGATAAGGTGACGTTTCGAATTAAATGAAGGTACACATCAAATGTTGAATTTCCATTACAATACTCAACAACTTCCTGATTATGTGTGTGTGTTTAGGACATGAAAATCATGAATACCTTGTTTCTTCAACACTTCATGAAATGGTTTCATTAGGCATTTGACACGTCCATTTTTTCTGTCCTTGATACTTAGCAACAAACACAACCAGTCACAAGTATATCAATGCATATTGAAATATTATATTCCATATTATAATCCAGCACTAAAATTCAATTTTCTGATTTTATGTGATCGTCAGAAAATCTTTCAAAATAGCCAAAAATCACAATGGAGACTGAAAAAATTGTGAATGCATTTCACCTACAATGAAATGGTGCCAACTCCATCTCAAAATAGCCAACAAAAAAAATAGTTTAACAGCTTTCCTGGATAATACCCCGACGAGTATTACATATTACTTGCGGAATGTTAGTGTTCATCAGTGCACGCATCTATTAATCATGTGGAAATACTAAGAGATGTGGGTGTTACGAATTCATTGTTTTTTAATTCTTTACGAAAATGAAAGGCCTCGATAAATACAAACACAATTTTATTTAAAACTTTGAAAATACTTTCAAACGTCCTAAAATTACAAAAATTTATTAATATCAAAACACTTTGTAGGTCGTGGAGAAATTCTTCCTGAATGTATAATCTAAAAACTTTCAACCTACCACCAATAAAACTTATTGCTAGAAATTCAGGCGAATGAGAGAAAATATCAGTTAAAAGCAGAAGAAATCTAGGCAAATGTATCATTCTTGAGGGAAGTACTTCAGCTCAGTATTACAATTGCAAAATTGGAGAGCTACCTGAAGTATTATGTGTGATACGAGTAAATACTGTTTACCTTGATTGCTGTTCGAAGTGAGAATAGTATCCTATTGAAGTACAATGTCAATTCCTATTAAATACCATTAATTATTTGATGTACTCTGGAATATTGCAGTAATTCATATTTTTTATTTCAAGTTAACCTTGAAATTCTGTCCCCGAACCGCATAAATACAATTACAATTCAAAAAGACGTACAATAATTTACACAATGTATTTTTCTCAAGAATCACCTCAAGTTTCAGGCACTGCACTGACTAATCATATTTTGATGGATACATTTTTGAAACACAACCTCAAAAGTATTTTTAGTATTTTTTCAAAACGTGAAAATATACAATCAGGCATTCACTAATTTGGAGACTTTGATAAGTAATTACTTATTGGAAAGTCTTTCAATTCATCAAAAGACTTAAAGAAATCAATTAACGATGTTGTACAAAATATGGTACAAATACATTAAAATACAATAATGAGCAATTCAAACATATTATGATCCTTCACAATACTTTGATGTTCTTCTTTTTCAATCAAATACAATCAAACTATAAATACTATTAATTGAATTACCTGGACAAATCTCAATGGAAGGCAAATATTCAATTGGAATGCTTTCAAATATTTGTACTTTCATCAGTAATATTTTTGAGAAATTACTTCAAAAAGATGGAAGGAATCAGCTGCAGATTGGTATGAAATACTACATGCAAAATATATTAAAAATACATCAACTTTAAGAGTATATTTCAGTTTTTTTGTGAAGGAAGTATTGAAAAGAGAGATAATTATTCAGCATTACAAAACAATTCTCCAAAATCAGCTCCTATTAATTATTTAATGTATTCTTGAATATTAAAATCGATTTGTATTTTAAGTAAAGTTAAAAATGTTGTAACTGTATGTGTAGCAGTTCTTTCTTATCTGCTCGAATAAAATACAACATTTACATCACTTAATCACCTCCATATAATGAGGTGTCATAAAATGATCAATGTACATATGCACTTGAAGTCCCCCCGAATAGTCATACATCAATCCCTCATAATATCCTCTTGATTATTTAATATACTATGGAATTTTGGAGAATTGATTGTTTGAATTTGATAAGAAAGTTGTCTCTAGGCCTGGAGCTATTTGAGATGTAGGTACGTTCCTTAAAGTATTTGAGAATGAAGAGATATAATAGGGGATGATTTTATAAATTGAAAAACTTTTAAAGTTTTTGTACTCAGTATTTGCAAAGGCAGTTTCCAATCAGCTGAGAGTAAATCGTCAAAACACCCTTCGGTGATAAGATACTAAAAATCCCGATACCTGCTGAAGCACTTACCAAGGCAAGAGGTACCCAATCTTATTAACTGAACTCTCATCATCAATCGAACTCACAGTTTTTGAGCTTAGCTGTCCGAAATAATATAAAACAAAATTAAAAAGATCAACCAAATACGGCTACTTCTTTAAATCTGCGACGCACACTTTCTTCTTGTCCGGTTCGTCAGAGTTTTCTTCGGCGTCAGCGAAAAACATATCAGGCGAAAACTCCAATCCCACTTCTGATTTTTCCGTCGTCAAAGACAAACCTTCCGCCAGCTGGGACTTATCGTCGATGGCGTCGTTTTCGAATGTTAAGCTCGACTCCGAATCGTTGGATTTCATACTGGGAAAGAAGTTAGGCACCACTTCGAATTCTTCTGGAAGACTCGCCTGAGTTTCTTCGAATGTAGGTTTTATTTCTTCCCTGTTCAAACCCACGTCTTCGACGGCATCTGAAAAAAAAATGGTTGTAAACAGGCTGTTATTCAACTTTAGTGTAAACGGTAAAGCTGTTTTCTGCTGTTTAATGCAAGGGCAAACTTATGGAAAACAACGTTTCACCTGGAAACTTCCAGGCTTCTTCAGATTATGTATAAGTGACAATAAGTGAAATACTAATAAAAACATGTTTCAAAAAGAATACAAATTGAGGCATTCAAAGGACTAACCATAAAACCGATTTTTTAGGTTATGAAAACAATGATACCAAAATATGTTTCAACAGGTAATAATAGAAATGGATAGATAGTAAGAGAAAGTTTCAGCAAAGAATAAATTTTGTTTTCAATTATAAGTCCATGAATCAACAAATCCGAGAATTGGAAAGGTCAAAAAGATCCATGGATGCTTCATAAAAATGCAGTCAAAATGATGATGAAACTTCCCAAAGGCAAAAACCCACAAAACACATGGTTACGGTATGGTTATCAGAATCGGGTGTGATTAACTGAAACTTTCTGCAATCGGACTAAACCATCATAGCCAGAGTCCTACTATGAGGAAATCAACGAAATGTTTCATAAATTGCACAAGTCGAAGGATTTATGGTAGAACTTGAGGTTTAGGTCCCAAACAAATCCATTGGATGTGATGATTGTCAGACCAATGATCACTTATGGTGCAATTGCCTGGTGGCCGAAGGCTTTACAGAAAACGGTCCAGGCGAAGCTCTCTGGCTTACAGAGTTAGGCTTGTCTGACCATCAGTGGTACCACTAGTACTACACCGTCAACGGCCATGAAGATCCTTCTAGATCTACCTCCTCTCCACATTTTTCTGAGGAGAGAGACTAGATGGACCGCATATAGACTTATGCACATTGCCCATTGCACAAATCAATTTAATGTGCAGAGTGCAACAGACTGTTGGTTGACACTAGAAGTCACAGCATTCTGGAAAAGGCCTATGACTTTATGCCTCCAACTGTCATCTATGAACTGCCTTATGAAGTACTATTCCCGCGTAGTGAAAACTGGAACCTCCAGGAGAAGGAAATATCAAGACCAAAGAGTTGGTTCACAGATGGATCAAAAACAACTTTCGGTTCTAGTGCAGGTGTTTTCAGTCGCTGACCCAGGACAGAGATATCAACCTGCCTAGGAACCTATCACACTGTATTTGAAACGGAAATTTACGCTATTGAATTGTGTGCTGAGAAATTGGATAAATCCAACCCTACCCACAAGTCAATAAGAATATTCTCGAACAGTCTAGCGGCGTTGAAAGATCTTGGCTCCTACCTCTTGGTAGCAAATTGTCAAAAACTACTCTCCTCGATAGGAAGACTCAACAGATTGTCTCTGGTCTGGATTCCTGGCCACACTGGCCTGGAAGGCAATGAGGCTGCTGACTTCCTTGCAAAGAAGGGTGCTGCAAGCAGCTTCATCGGACCAGAACCTGTCATTGGCATCGATTTAGGCTTTTCCAAACAAAGATTGAACACCTGGAAGGCAAGAAGATTTATGGACTTATGGCACAATCCTACAGGATTGGCTCACTCCAAGGCGTTCATTCACCCTTCGAAGCTTGATACCAAACAGTTGTTGGACTACAGTAGGGATGAACTACGATGTCTAACAGGCGTTCTAACAGGTCACTGTCATTTTAATCATCATATGTCGGACTGTCGGAAGACAGTGTGTGGTTGCCTTTATTTGGAAAATGATGCAACAGTAGATCACATTGTTTGTACCTGCCCCGCTGGGAACCAAATCAGGTTGTTAGAGTTCGACAGAGCCCTACTTTCATCATCTGACCTGAAAGACCACTTACCATACAAACTTATCGGCTTCGTTAAGATGCTGGGTTTATTTGGTCGAGTATGAATAGGTGTGAGCCACAATAAACCCTTGCGGATTGCGGTGGAGGGTCGAATAGACTCACTCACTTCGGATTAAATGTAACTTAACCTAACCCAACCATAAATTGCGTCAGCAGACCTCCCGCCAACCGACTACCATCTTTTCAAGCACTTCGGCAACTGTCTCACCGGTAGTACCAGGCAGAAACGGCCTTCGTCGACTTTATCGAATTCCTAGTACGCAATGTATAGAATTATTGAATATCACAGTTCAAAGTAGACTCATAAAAATGAAAAAACTTTTTAGAACAAGCTAATACTTGACCGATATTCAGTAAACATGTTGAGCTACTCACCATGGATCAACAAATTCCTGGACTCCAAGTGTTCAATAGTTAATTCGGCGGAATCTGCATTCCCGTGAGAAGAAAAAAATTTGAAATTGGTGTCTTGGCAATTGCTATCGTTGGTGCTAGGAAAATCCTTCGGCATATCGTCTTCAGAGAGTGAATCGATCTTCTCAACGTTATCTTTGCTCAAAACTCTCAGCTCCTGTAACTCTCCCATCCTACCATTCTCATCTATAACCTAAATTATTCGCTTCAGTCATTGAACCATAATTAAAATCACCCAGTCAGTCCATTCCCACTACTTTCATTCATAAATTCACAAAGTTCTCGTTGACCTCGAAACGAAGTGCGGAGTCAATTTCGTTCTTTTACCATATGCCTGCGCTCATATAAAAACGAAATTAAAGATATTATAGAAGATTTTGTGGTTAGTTACTTATCATCAACTACAAAAACTACAAATAATAATAACAACAGGGATTAAACTAAACACAATACCAATTTTCAACCATTTATTATAACTATACCAATGGCCGTGGGACCGTCGAATCCTTCGATACTACAACACTGAACGCGTTGGATGAGAATTTCATCCTAAGTGCAGTTGAAGGTACCCGGCAACTCGAACGGATCACGTGGTGAGAAAGCTTACTGGTTGTATTATTCTACTGTGATTGAACTATATAATCTAACATAGCAATACTCACATTGCAACTTTCATCAATATGCAGCTCATTTGAATGCAAATAAAACTGAACATTAGGATCGATATTTGGTTTGAATTGAAACGTTGACATGCATACACACTCATCGCTGTCATTTGCTGTCAATCTCAAATAAAATATTAGCAGTATCTGCTGTGAGGAAACCCCAACACTGCGTCCGTTGTCTCATTGACGTATATCGCAGTCGTAGACGAAATGACAGGAATAAAAACCTATAGAAGATAGCGATGCATAGTTAGTATATTTTTGATCCATTATTTCATGAATAATCAAGAGTGTCCTAGATCGAGTGTTTTTGTCAAAATATTTCACGTATAGGGGGATCCAAATGTTTACACGATTACGTTGATCTTGAACGTTTCCGAATTTCCGAATAGACTACCTATATTTAATAGAAGTATCTAATGAAATCACTTAAGCGCCCTATCCAATAAGAAATCATTCAGATGTTGGAAGATTTCTGCATCTTGGGTTTCAGAACAAATCTAGTTATTATACACTAAATTTCAACAAATTTGAAATGTTTGGTTGAATATTTAACGTTGTTTGTTTTTTTTCTGAACTGGTTTAACAAAGTTATTGGCAAGATTCTCGCTAATACAAATCTTCACAAGTTTTAGGATCAATGGTATGAATTTTTATTATTGTGATATTTTCAGTTCACCAACTTTATTGACATTGAATGTTTTTGAGCTAAACATATGTGAACATTCCAGCAAACATCGACTTTATCCCATAATTTCTTCAACTATATAGGATGAGGATTTTGTGTAAAGCACATGTAATTTTTTTTAAGTTGGCTACTTTGCGTGTTTATCAGTAGTGTTAGCTGTCATATGTATTTATCTTTGCTCAAAACTCTCAGCTCCTGTAACTCTCCCATCCTACCATTCTCATCTATAACCTAAATTATTCGCTTCAGTCATTGAACCATAATAAAAATCAACCAGTAAGTCCATTCCCACTACTTTCATTCATAAATTCACAAAGTTCTCGTTGACCTCGAAACGAAGTGCGAAGTCAATTTCGTTCTTTTACCATATGCGTGCGCTCATATAAAAACGAAATTAAAGATATTATAGAAGATTTTGTGGTTAGTTACTTATAACCAACTACAAAAACTACAAATAATGATAACAACAGGGATTAAACTAAACACAATACCAATTTTCAACCGTTTATTATAACTATACCAATGCCCATGGTACCGTCGAATCCTTCGATACTACAGCACTGAACGCGTTGGATGAGAATTTCATCCTAAGTGCGGTTGAAGGTACCCGGCAACTTGAACGGATCACATGGTGAGAGAGCCTACTGGTTGTATTATTTTACTGTGGATGAACTATATAATCTAACAGAGCAATAATCACATACAACAGTTTGCGAATTACGATTTGCAACTTTCATGAATATGCAGCTCATTTAATGCAAACCAAACTGAGCATTAGGATTGATATTTGGTTTGAATTGAAATGATGACATGCATACACACTCATTGCTGTCATTTGCTGTCAATCTCAAAGAAAATAGTAGCAGTATCTGCTGTGAGGAAACCCTAACACTGCGTCCGTTGCCTCATTGACGTATATCGCAGTCGTAGACGAAATGTCAGGAATAAAAACCTATAGAAGATAGCGATGCATAGTTCAAAACAGTTTTACGATATTTAAAAAATAACAAAATCTCTTTATTTATCAAATGCAACTGAAAACTTCGAAACAAAAAGATAAAAAATTGAAGAATTGTGTCCCTATTTGAATGCCATGAAATACGTAATATGCCGTCTTTCGCATTAAAAAACCAAAAAATAGTCTACATTCAGAAACTTGCCGCTTTGAAAAACTCTATAAATTTCCAACAGCGTTAAGTTGTGTGATCGGGCTGGCCAATAATACTGTTGTAGATCATGCCCGAAAGAAAGTAACGCCGGCCACCACTGGTAACCATAAGCCAAACGTGACGTAGCTAAGAGCGCGGGAATGCCCAATGATCCCTGCCGCTCGAGAAGCAGCGAGAAACGTGCTACCGATGTCGATGGAACTTCGGCGAAAATTCTACGATGTTCGATTGCGATATTTAAACGTTGGCTGCAAGCGTATTCACACAGTAAAATGGAAGATACAGTGCGATACGCGAAGTGATCAAGTAAGGCGATAGACATTTAGACAGTGAAGTGGACGTTACAGTGCGGTACGCATAAAGTTAGGTTTGATGATTCAGTGTAGTCAATTATTGATCAACCCACGGGGGAAAACGTAACAATACCCTCAATCTCGACCTAAAACTTCATCTCTGAACTTTTCACTGTAATAGGTTGGTTATATTGTGGTACGCGACTGATACAATGAACCAAAAAGTTTGTAAAAGTAAACTGACCTTTGGCATTTAGGAAATACAATTCATGATTGTATGAAATGTGAGTCAATGAAAAAATATCATTATTTTCGATTTTAAAAATGTCACTCACCAATATTATTGAAAACAAAAATCTCTCGAATAACAAATTTAAAAGTACCAATTTTTTAATGAAAAAAATATGTCAGCGGACAGATATAAGTACATCTCTTATACCATCTACTATAAAAAATATAGGTAGCTCTAGGGGTGGTTTGAGATAACCATCATCCCACGTGAATTATGGCACCTTCTTTTAGGAGAGGAAAACTATATGATTTTTCAAATGAGCACGTACCTGGTATTGAAGACCGTCTTTTTGCAAATTTTGCAGTACCTCGTCGGTCACGGTGACGAAATTCCCGTCGTTGGTCTTGAACATGATCTCTACGTTCGAATTGGCCTCGTTGCCCAAAATATTCTTGATCTTATCCGCCGTCAAGCCCTGGAAGCCGTTCTGCAAAGTCAGTTGGATGATGTTGGACTTCCCCGGATCAGAGTACTCGGAGCCGTTGAGCACTGTATTCAAGTCAACGTCGACGAAACTGAAGTTGGTGTGATGAGGAATAAAATTCTCCACAGTGGTTTCCATGCAAGTCTCCTCTATAATGAACGTATTCGCTTGCGGTGCCGAAGCTATTTCTTTCTTCAAGTTGGCAATGGCCAATCTGCTCGCCTGAGCTTCTTTCACGCAAGCCTGGTGCTCGGCCTCTAGGCGGAACTTTCTTTTCACTTTATGAGGCTTGTAGGTAGTGTTGAAGCTGCTCGGTTTCGTAGCGATGGCCTGTGAAGGGTTCGCGATGAAGGGGTAGGCGGGATACTTCGGTTTTTTCGAAAGGAACTGGGGTTTTGGCAGTACTATGAGTTCACCTGGAAATCAAATCTTGAGTGAGCAGATGACTAGACCTAGGTGCTGAATCAAAAGTCAGCACCTAGGTCTCGATATGAAATAACAAATATCACTTCAAAAAAAAAATACACCGTGAACATATGAATTTTGAAACTTTGCATTTTTTAAAAAGTAGAAAATGTTACTTTAAATTATTATTATAACGGTGGCTACGCCCACGTAGCAGAGGCGAAGACGAAGACGAAAATGCAGAGGTTGATCTCCAAGGAAATGAAGGGTACCGGAGCCAGAGGTGAATACATGATATTATTTTTTTAACCAGAATAAATACAGGCTGTAACCAAATGAGTGTAAAACATTCAAGGAGGTGATTCCTCATCGAAAAAAAGATAGGACCTTTCATATAAAAAAATTTCATTGGAGCGTCCTTTGTTATATGCTCCTCCATAAAATAAAAGAGCGGTTTGTGAATATTTACACCAAAGATTTCCTAATAGGTAGCTAGGAAATTCTGAGCCAGTGAGGTGACTGACCTTACAGTTTTGGATACTTTCTTGAGGGGCACTTTGAAGGACATACTCTATGGAGGTTCAGGTTTATCAGAAGAAGGGATATTCGAAGAATGCAATTATCTCTGTCACGGCCAGAGATAATTGCATGAAGGCTATTTTCTGGATTTTCTGACCGTGGTCTGTAGGTTTTTATGTCTGACTTTTCGTCTACTGCTGCAGTAGACATTTTCAAAGGCGATGTGGTAACGGTCGCAATATCCGCGCTGGTGATCTGGTTCCAGTTCCTGTTGTATCAACAGTTAATGCGTCGGATACAACAGGAACTGTTAATGCGTTGGATACAACAGGAACCAGAGCACCAGCTCGGGTATTGAGACCGTTACCACATCGCCTTTGAAAATGTCTACCGCAGCTGTAGACGAAACGTCTGGCGTAAAACCTGCAGACCACGGCCAGAAAACCAGAAAAATAAATAGCATTCATACAGAAGGGTACTGTTAGAGCAGTTCTTAATTTGAGACAACGAAGCCAACATTTCGAACACTAGTAATACTTTTTGTGCATTTTTAACAAGCCTATGATTTCATTCTTTGTTTTTAAAACGCACCGTATTCAGCCAAAATCCCCAATAATGTTCTATTTGGATGTTGTCTTTCCGGATATAATTCAAAATAAATTTGTGCTGTTCTCGTACTATTCCTATCAAATTTATAGTATAGTTTCAACTTATCTCGTTTCTTTCATTTGAGAATGACGAAATATCGATTAAAGTATTTGTGCAAACTTAAACTATTTGATAAGTTCTGACAACTAGTGTTCATTAAACAAAATTTTTTGAAAGAGTCATGACCATCTCAGATGAAGTTGTTTTTAATACCTGTGGTTTCAGAAGAGCAACATAACAAATTATACATCAATTAAATCAGATTGAGAAGCACTATTTTTCTGTATAAAAAACAATATGGTGCCTGCCATATTGAAAATACAAACCGCAAACATCAGTACCTGCATCATTTACCAAAACGAAATAATCTTCATGAGCAAACGGGATCAAAAATTTTGCTGGATTCTTTCCAACACTCTCATCTTGGAAACGAGAGCTTAACCTTAGACGATGTCATATTACGCTTGATCAGTGTACGTTTATACATACTTCCTAGATAGTGGATGTTAAAAACCTGGTTGATAATATAACAATACATCTTATATGCTCATGCAGAAGTGATCAGTACGAATTTTACAAAACAAAACTAGCTACAAGATAATGACGGAGGCAAATTTCAATATTCGAAACGTTGAGAAAATATACTGGTCAACTAGTGAAACGCTTTTCAAAAACATATGGCACGAATATAATTTCAGAGACTTAAAAAAATGCAGTGTCACTTAAACATGCCTTAGAGGACGACCGTAAAATGACTGAACGTTGTGTCGGTACCTGACACATAACTTTTGAATACTTTCGAAACTCTGGGCATAAAAACTATAAAAAGTGACAAAGATTTTTTTCCAAACAGACCATTATTCATCTTTATATGAATCACGCCAACTTGTTTGATGAAACGCGCGTCAAGACAAGTATTCCAGTTCTAGTTTGAAAGCAGTGCTGGTTTTGGATTGAAATACTTGTATTTACCTTCATAAAAACTGATACACTTAATATTTTAACCAATCAAATATCGAAAAACAGTCAATTATTTGATGTGGCTTCAAACTAAACCTAGAACAATTTACCACAAATACTTTGAAAAATTACATAGGTGTTCAAAATTTTCGGTAACCATTCGTGTTGAAAAATGAGCCAGTACACCCCTGACATAAGAACATAAAACAGAGCTCTTGCAACCTGACACCAAATTTCTGATACGGTAACTATAATAATAATTCTCTGCATAATAATTTGACTGCATACAAATAAATTGGTATTTCTCACCTGCAAACGGAAATTCCATCGAAAGATTTTCCAAACTCTTCATTTGAAATAGCCTTGCAGCTGCCACCAGATATTTCAACAGATCTTCATTTATCAGAGTTTCTCCACAATACATGAATTCAATCAGAGATCTAACCACTGCAAAATCGCAACCCGCAATAATCACTTGTTCAATACCAGGGTTTCTTTCCAGTTCCTCCTACAATCCCACATCATTATCTAGTAATTCTGTTGAAGTATGTTACTTACCCGAAATAGGGAACTACTTGCCGCTAAAACAATTTTATGCGCGTGCAAAATACTGCTTCCACAACATATAGCAATATCTACCAGGCTTTGATGTTCCATTAATGAACAAAGACCTAGAGTTGTATGAATAGGATGTTTTTCCAATTGTATGCAATATTTCACTTTGGATTGGCCTGTTTTATTCATTTTTTCTTAACTGAACAGGTCACTTGAAAAGTTTTTTCAACCTAACCTATTACAAGGTATTTGAAATTATCTTGGCGGGAGCGGCAATTGATATATTCTAGTTGGAAAAATGGATGTATTGATATGCCTATAAATGAAGATAATTCATGAATTTTGAATTAATATCGATAACTAATATATTTGGCTTACCAGATATAAAATGTTAACACGGTTTAATTTGAAACTGACACCTTATCTGTTTAATTTTAAACAAAAGACTGTTATTGTCATAGAAATAATACGAACTAGATCATTTGAAATTTGAGTTTTGGGGAAAATGAAAAGAATACAAGAACCTTTCGAAGCTAAATATGAATTTGATTAATTTAGAGACTTTTGTTTGTTTCATTTTCATAACTATTCCAATAATAACGTGGAAAAATCAGAACTTAATGTATACAGTTGCTCAATTGATAAGTTGGGTCGTTTTCAACAATAATTTTCAAATACATTCATATATTGTGATCTCTAATTGCGCGACATCTACAATTGAAACGATGAGTAATACTAGGTAGGTAGTTGACTGTTTCTAAAAATCGGCAGCATATGGTCGATTAGATTTAAATGTAGATTGTATCAGTGTATCAGTTATATGGTAATATAAAAGAACATTTTGGATTAGTATTCGACCGACAGTTCGGTTTCGGTCGAGTTTCGGCTAAAAAACGGGTTTCGGTTTAATTTCGGTTTCGGCGGCAAACCTGCCGAAACTACGACCGAAACCGGAACTGCATTCGGAAGTTCCCGCGCTGTGATCGGTCATATTCGGCTCGTTAAATTTCATACAAGTAATATTAGGTAACAACTCAAATAAGTAATTTTATGTTTAATATTATTGAAATTCCATCAATAATATTCAAAAAAAGGATCTACACCTACTCAAAAACACCTCACCTATTTTAAGTATTTTTAAGGTGCAATTAATATTTTTTCTTGAATAAGGGTTTTTTATATTGATTATCAATAAGTAAAAATGCATATAACGTTGTGATTTAAAGATAAAAAAAATAAAGGCTGACTGATTACAATAACGATTTCTTAATTTTTCCCTCAAAACATAATCCTTATTGTAAGGAAGTTTCGGTCGAAAAAACCAGTTTCGGTCGGACACTATTTTGAATCAAATGGTTTTTTTTTCAACAAAGATAGCTAGCTATAACTGCTATTTGAAATAACATGTTTGTACATCACTACAATTCCAAAATTGAATTCTCAGAACTGACTGACGTTATTGCATTCTGAATAGATGAGGAAAAATAATAATGAAATATACCTAAACGTAGAATCACAATCTTGGCAACAATGTTTTCGTTTAAATGCAATAATATTTCTGAGAATTTGGTACTACTATTATGGAATTATACATAGAAATAATAATGGCTATAGGTAGGTCACAAAACGATCGAATGCAATGTCAGAAAATTTCGCGTCACTATTCGTTTTCCTATTGGTAAATAATCAAGGTCGAGTATGGTCAAAATTTATTTTTCTATTGTTCTTGCAACTTTGAACTGACAGGCAAAATCAAGTAAAGTGTAAAGTGGTTAGTTTTGGTTCTTCATTTTTTAATTTTCGGCATAATATTTTTTAACTTCTGCCTTTATTCCCAACCATACAGAAATAGATAATTTTTCAATACGGCTTGCGAATAATGTTCAGTTTTTCAAAAAATGAAATTTTTGTGTGACAATGAACACCTGTTGTTATTGTCTCCGTGACAACCCTCCTTTTGCATTACTTTTTTCATGTCTTGAATTTCTGGGAAGTCTACTATCTGCAATAATGACAATGTGTCCTTATACTAATACCTATATTACTGTTGTTGATTTGGGAACCGATCCCTGTAATATCCATTTTTTTTTAGAAGAGGTTCTGAATTTTTTTGTGCCGATAGTTATTGTTTCTTAGATTCGTTATTACGCAATTTGAACATCATATGCATCTGAGAGACAGTATATTTTTGTTCTCGTGTGGAGAAAGTGCTTTTAATAGTATCATAGGTACATGTTTCCATAGAAGCATTAATACACGTTTTATCTCCTTGTCAAAGGTGCATAGAAACTTTGGTCATTGCTGATAGACGGAACAAGAATCGTTTCAAAATGTAAGCAATGGTGTACCTACCTTTAGCACCTCAGTGAATGGAATACCGAAGTATATTTTTGATCCATTATTTCATGAATAATCAAGAGTGTCCTAGATCGAGTGTTTTTGTCAAAATATTTCACGTATAGGGGGATCCAAATGTAAATATCTTCCTTCCATATCTGTTGGAGCACAGTTTTTTAAAGAAATTTCAGCAGATGTTCAATCATTCTATTCTATATTTTCTCCTCATAACTTACTGTTGGTTGATTTCTGAACTATTATAAAGCAAATTGCAGCAAAACTGTTAAATTTGGATTGAGACTAGGTCTCACTAAAGGTAGCCAGCTTTATCTTTCAAGCTCCGCAGAGGTGAGTCCATTATTACAGTGAATTTCTGATGGATTACCCTTCTACAAATTTTCATAATGATAAAATATTCGGAATGGGGAGAAGCCCACCATTGTTGACACTTTTGACTCTACTCGTTGTACATCTTGTTTAGGCTTTTTAGTTTGTATGAGGTGGGAAATGAAGATTTCCTATAAATTTGGCACTTCTCTCATATCCCCTGGAGCATAAGGCAATACCGATGTCTCGTCAATTAATAAAATGTTGCCTGGAACTTCTATACCTAGCAGGCAACTATGGTAGATTGGGGTATAAAAGCTATCTGGCCTTAACCCTCAAGATTCAAACTTCGACCTGCTCGAACTGAGGAAAGCAAAAGTCAGGCCCTTTAATAAGCCGAGGTCTTCAATATTTTTGCAATGGCTTATTCTTGTGTTGCCAAGTGCTGTGTTTTCATTATTATTATTATTATATTGGATCACTACAGTGTTTCGACTAGTAGCCTCCCATTACCACAACAAATGTGAGGCACTGAATGATAAAAAGCAGATCATGTGCAAAACAAATATGTAACAAAGTACCTTGTACAAACTAGTGAAAGGAACAAGATTCTTAAAATGAGTGTCATGAATAGGGGGAAAATACAATTATATGCAAAAAAAATGGCAAACATATAACAACTGACTTTGGAATGAGTCATGAAGAAAAGGAAAAAATTGAATTTTGTGCAAAACAACTGACAAACATCTAATAAAGAACCTTGTACAAACTAGTGAAGTGCAACATCTATGAAATTGCAGTAGTTTCTGGATACAAAAAAAAATGGTTCTCAGGTAGCAGAGGTTGAGGGATGAGTTGCATGTGGAAATAACACTTATTTCTCCCGGAAAGCCAAGCCAACATCTTTTTGATGGAATTGAAACAGATCTACAAGTGATTTTCCTTAGGTCGGATGTTGTTGGTCAAACGATTTTAGCTCTCTACGGTTTCCACATGAGCCAACAAATTCTGTCCTTTTCAGTCTGGTTAATTCACATTTTCACTTGTACTCTAATAGTCATAGATACACCATCTGTTGTCACTATATTGACATAATTGGAATCAGGAGCAATGAAAGTTGGTGATACGGTGAGTAGAAATTTATTCTTTTTCAGTTTTGAAGTAGGAAATACATCGTTTACAAATTCAACAGGAAACAATCATATATTACATGTAAGGAATCTTCAGTGGATCTAAGAAAACATCTCAGCATACCTCTCTCAAAATGTATCAATTATTTTAGATCCAGATATCGATTGGCATATCATTGACGTGGGATTTAACCAATATTGAACATACAATATACTTGTATCTACCTCTCCAATAGTTTGGAGTTGATCAACGCAAACTTCAAAATATATTTTCAAAATTGAAAATGATACATATATGAGAAAAATTGAAAAGTATTTGTAATAAAATAAAAAAATTTAAATGAATTAATTTCATAATTTAATAAATGTTTTTGAGAGTTGTAGGATCAATATTTAGTCATAAACTTTTGAAAGTTGTACAAGTCGATGATTCAAAAAACCCACCAGATTACACGCAACCAAAATATTAGGAATACATCTGGAAAGTGTTGCTTTCTCTTTTAGCTTGATTGTAATCTCACTCAGAGATGTATTTTTTCACAGTATATGTTTTACTCTCTGATTTTTGTTTTGGATGTAACAAAAAACTCAAAGTTTGATTATGTGAATACGGATAAATAACTAATAATTGTGTGATTTAAATTACCACTCCCTCTGAATTTGACAAAAATCTCTAGAATTACCATTTTAACTCACAGTAGTTTTTTAGTTAGTTCAACGCAATTTGCAGATTTTGCTCACTGTTCAATTACATGACTGTAACGAACATTGGAACATAAATCATGATTCCCATGTTTGTGTCCAAGATGAGAAGGAAAAAGGAAAAAGTAAAACTAAGAGTTACAGAATCACGAAAATTTGGAAAAGTCGCCTGTTTTAGAGCTTACTCGAATGACGTTTCAAAATTAACTAACTAAACAATTATGTTGATACATAAATGAAGTTACCGCCAAGAAGGTAAAACGTGGGATTGAAAATGTACCAACGCTGTCTTGTACAGTTTGAAGAGTAGCATTGAAAAGTAGTTTTGGTTCTCTCTGCAATCCTCACGCCCTGAGATAACTGTGACGAAGCTGTTTTTCAGGTTTGTCGGCAGTGGTATGCCGGCATAAAAAGCTGCAGACTACAACCAACAAACCTGTAAAATAGATTTCACACTTCCGGAACTATTTGGAATTTCTTTATTTTTTAAGATGCCATTTTAATACGCCCTAAAACGGGCAACTTTTTCCTAATTCAACTTAGACACAGAGTATATCACGTCCAGAGGAAGTAGCTCTTGACTGAGCTGAAGTTTTTCAAATTAACATCGCCGGATATTCTAAATTAATAACTTTTATACAAAATAATATTCAAAAATAGTTAATCACAATCAGAAATGATTGTTTAACCCACAACCATCCCAAGTTGGACCAATCAAATCGAAATTCATAGCGGGAAAGGTTTCAAAGAGCATTTTACATCTTTTGTAGTAATTGGGGAAGGCCCCGGTAAGAGTTACAAAAAAAAAATTTGACAAGGCGTGCTGTTCTGTTTATTTTTCCGATTTCCGAGATATTCTGTGACATATGACATTTTGTGCATCTAACCTATATTCCTCTATATAAATAACAAAACAACTGTTGTTTATATGGCTTGTGGAGGTGGTATTGAACTATAATTTATATTTTGCCTTAATTGCTGATTTATAAAGATAATTTTCCTTTTTGAAAGTAGAATATCTAGGTACGTAATAATTATTTCAACTTGATATAGTCGCTGTTGCCAATAAGCGAATTAGAAACAAATCCCTTTAAAAAATAAAACCCAACATTTGAAACATCAATTTGAATACTTTTCAAAGTGAATTTGAAAAACTCATGAATTAAACTCAACTTTATTTTGCTCGAACTTGTATTTGCTGTAATAACCCAAATTGAGGAACATTCCCCATTGAAAGATAATCCAACCGCAACTTCAATATTCTAAAACAAAAACAGTATTCAGAATTCCATCTTTTAATATTCCAAGTTCATAGACATCAAAATTGATATGATCACAGGATATAGAAATATAAAACAATCTCCAAATACGCAAACTTTGCACAAATTGCATGCTGAGCATTTTACCTTAGTACTACAGTGACTGAATCAAAGTCGCAATGTCACTATATAAATCTTCATAAATATTGAGGCAGGTCAAGATCATGAAAGATTCAGAAATTCATTCAGTATCTAACTGATCTTCAAAGAAGGTTCTAGCAATGTAAGTTTTTGGTGATTTATTGTATTCTTAATTAACATTTAGTGTCAGTTTATTCCTGAAAATATTTTCCCTGTTTCGTTACAATAAATGTTTAATTGAGTTTTTAAATGAGTTCTTTCATTATTTGGATGAATAATGAATGGGGGAAACAGCGAATAAAATCCTCTCCTCAATAAGCCAAGCGAGTACTGAGTTGCGACAATATTCTGTTTGAAAAATCTGTTCAAAATTTGATTTTTCGTTAACCAGCTGGTTATTAACGAGGTCTAGCATTTCAACGTGCGATGCCTACTGAAACACGACATGATGACATCAAGTTGAAGTACTGTTGTGAACAATTAACATAATGACTGACGCTAGTGATAAATACACGAAGCAGCCAACTCAGAAAAAATACAAGTTCTCCAAACAAAATTTTTATTCGATATTATCGATCGATCATTCTCAGAACACTCGACTGATTGGTCGGAAAAATCTAAACCTACATTAAAACCATAAAAAAATATAAATTATGAAGCGATTCAGTTAGTGCGGAATATTTTTTCCACAGCCTTAAAAAAGTTATCTCAACTCCGAGCGGAACGTCCTCGATACGTCAGTCGTCCGAAAACAAAAATTCACTTTCGGATAACAGTACTTCTAGATCGGATTGGACGGTATGGATATTGGAATCGATGTCTGGATTCACATCGATCCGAGGTGAGTCCGCACTAGCGATGGGCTTGTCCCCCGACAGTTTAACTTGCTGAACTAGCACCCCTGTTCTTGGCACCTTTTCCAGTTTTCTAGATACGTCCGGAGCCCGTTCGATTACCACGCTCGTCTTTTCCGGTTTGCGCAACTTAACACTAAACTTGAAAGGAGGTTTGTACACGACTTGCAGGCGAACTTTTTCTTTTTCGCTTGGGATGTTGCCCACACTGTGCGATTTGCTCTTGTCGGTTCGCGGCCTGATAGTGGGGCGCTTGTGGGGACTCCTGCGAGTCTTGTCTGTCAAGCCGACGGGAGTGGATTTGGATTTCGGCAAGGCGTACTGAGATTTCAACAGCCAGTTCTGGACCTTGCCTAGATTGAACCTTGAGGGACGCCATGCTCGATTTTTTTGAAATCAGATTTTACATTGTTTAGCTCAACACACTGAAATCTGTTTGTAAGATATGAACGAAGGAGTTCCAGAGTAGTGCCCCTTATGCCATAATAACTTAGTTTTTCAATAAGTAGGGAATGTGAAACGCAATCGAAAGAGTAAAAGTAAAGAATAAATAGAGCAGATATGTTTGAAATAGATCTACAATTGCGAACTATGAAGCCATAAACTCTCAATGCTTCACTTACTTCTGATCTAATGTGGTTGGAAAAAGACAAATTTTGATCAAAACATACACCAAGATCTTTTATTGAGTTACTTCGTCACAGTGAAATGGTATATACTCGATAATTGTACTCGATGACCGACACTTTTCTACTATAAGACGCTACTCAATATTTGGACGCATTGAGATATAGTTTGTTAACTTCACACCAAGTCTGTGTATTTTCTGTCGTTGCAATGTATTACAGTCTTCGATAGTTTCGACAGGTAAATATATTTTCAAATCATCTGCAAAAAATTACTTATTACATTTGACATTATTATTGAGGTCATTATTAAATAAAAAGAACCGAAGGTGTTTATAGTAGGAAAAAAAACAATGATTCAAACGTGTAATACAGGGTTTATCTTGAATAATATCATTAATTTCAGGTGGTAAGTATTTGTCATATTTTAGTAAAAAAAGTTTTATCCTAATCTGTTTTGTTTCCAAATAACAAAGTCTCACAGTTTCACTAAAAATATTGTTCTTTCATTGATAACTCACAATCATCTTATGCGATTTTGATTCAACTACATGTATTTATAATGAGTAACAAGAGGCTTCTTTTCATGAAGATAAATTTTGAATTTTAATTCCAGTAGCGTCCCAGAGAATTATTTGATTGATATTTACGGGAAAAAAAATCATTGTACGCCACTGTTTTCGCTAAGTTTGATATTATTTGATATACTTTAAGTTTATCGAATCACAGTCAGTGGCGTAGAAATGGGGATTACGAATTATTCAAGTTCAGAAATGTGATATTCGTCGCAATTTGAACACACTTTGAAATGAAAATCTGTTTGGATAGTAAAAGGAAGACATATTGAAACTACTAGTTAATTTGTATTTTATTCGGAGAGCAGCACATGCAATAATTGAGAATAATTAAATTAGATGCTCAAAATGAGAACCTTGACATGTAATACAAGCATTGAGTCTTCATCTCTTCGAATGACACACATGTTCAAAACTTCCTAGGGTGTTACGTATGACATTAGAAATATACTTAATTCCATAGTTCATTCAATGGATTCAAGTCTGGAGATCAAGGTGGCCACGTTGAGGTACCCAATGACATATCCATTGGTGAGCGAAAGTATCAGTAAGATATTCATGAGCAGTAACACTGAAATGGGCAGGTGCTCCGTCGTGCATAAACCACATATTTCGTCTTACCAGCAAAGGTACATCCTACAACAATTCTGGCAATGTGTCTTCTAGAAATAATCTGTAGAAAATGTGGTCCTATGAGATGATCACCAAAAATCCTCGCCCAGACGTTCACCGAAAATTACTGCTGAAATCCACTTTCTACAGTAACATGTGGATTTTCATAGACCCAAGAATGATTGTTATGAAAGTTCAGAATGAAAAACTTGTCTCATCTGTGAATAAAACTTCACAAGTGGAATTGGGATTTTGTTCAAGGTGGTAACAGTGCCTGCACCTGTTGTTTGTGATATGGAAACAATACATTCGTATGCAAAACCTTCCAAATACTTTGATGGCTGACATTGATCTGTGAACAATTGGGAATCCTTCGTGGTTCAACCGTAAATGAAACCAAACAATTGAAAATCCTTCATAGTTCAACCGTAAATGAAACCGAGTCAAGAATTTTTTGTAGAACCTTATATATTTTTTCACACCATCTTATAGAATATGAAATTATCTTTTCAACGATGGAACACAAGTGGCCGTACCTAATCAGAATGGTGGCATACAAGTCATTTATTTCAATTTCAATATGCGACAGGATTCACCAGGGTTACTATAAAGGGGGAGGTTGTCATTTTTTATTTTGGATAGTTCACTAGTTTCTCATAAATCAAATTCACTCGGGAGTCCTACAGGGAAGCTATCGTGGACCATTGTTATTCAACATTTCAAGTAATTATATTGCTTATTATATAAAGTATGCAGAATTTCTATTCGTTGCAGGCAATATCAAAATTTATAAGATTTATAATGCTACCAGTTTCAAAACCAATGTTGTTCATGGAAATACAGTGAGACTCGTTTCAAATAGTTCTGATAGTAAAAGTACCCTGTTAATATCCAAACAATCTTTACTAAATATTTACCGACGAGTTCCCCTTTACCTCCTTCTATATCGGCTTGGACGCTGCTGTAGTCTATAATTTCTTTCTTCTTCTTCTTCTTTTTGGCAACGTTGGCTTGTGTGAGCTTCTTAATTTTATTGTTTGGCACTTCGAACACATTGGTATCGAGAGGTTTCGTCCTAGCCTCTTCGGCTCCAACAGCTGCCGAAACTCTCTTCTTCTTCTTCGGAGATACTTTCGGCTTACTCGGACTGTTCAGGTTGTTGTTGATCGATTCCACCTTGGTCTTTCGTTTCCGTTTCACTTTTCCGTCTCTCACTTTGCGCTTCAGTGGTAACTTGGAGCGAACGCCCGGGTGGACCGTGACACCTCCCTCTCCTTCTGGGGGTAAGCGAACCGCTTCAGTCGAAGATTTGTGCATTATGGTGACCGATTTGATTTTGAAGTTTGGTCGCTTACCAAGATACTTCGTGCTGAGGATCTGTGGAAGTTATGAATTATTAAGTGTTTATTTATATTAATTGAAAAACTAGAGAGAAGTAACTTGCCTTGCCTAGCAAATATATAGTGATTTGCGAGAAGAAGAAATGTACAACATTGAGTGTTGCATATTTTCACAATTCTAAAGAATATCTTTTTATTGTTCTAAAAGAGCGATAAAAGCGAATAATAAATATTTTGAACTAGTTGAGGTATAATAATAGAAGATATTTTTTGTGAACTGTCTTATTTGTTGAACTAACTCGATACAAAATTATATGAAATTATGAAAACAATTCTCATAGAATTAATTTTTTTTATTTGAACATTCCATTCAATTTTTGTTCATTTGCTGTCAAAGTTTCGAAAACATTTTTTTTTAAACAATTATCTCTAAAATTATTGATGATACGCTGAAATGCGTTATTATAACCTTCGTTAATTAGTGTAAAATTCTCTATATAATATAATTTTGGCGGTTTTAAATTTTGTCTGCAGCAGAATTCTGATGAATTTGGACGTGCATGAACAAATTGATGAATGAGTAAATATATAAACCTCTTCTGTAATATTCCATTTGAATATTGCAACTATCTGATTAATATTTTCTTGCTCTCTGTAACAATTATATAACATAATGTTTCCATGGAATGTAGTTTATTTTATTTCATTTTTGACTATATTCCTTTGTCACATAAACACAATGTTTTTAGGTTAAGTGGAGAAGTAGCTTCTCAGTGAAACTGTTCACTATTGAAGCTGAACTTTGCCCTTTGTTTCTAAGTCACGTATTAGTTATCTAATTTCGTTTTTATTTGTAGAAGCATACTATCATTACCCTTATACCTCTGTCTTATAGCTGCATATACTTAAAGGAAAAAAGAAAGTAGTTTTAACTGAGTTCTGAGATATAGAGGGCTCATTTGATACCTTCCTAGAAATAACGTTAAGGTGAAGACGGATCAACAACAGAAGCTACAAGGTTACAGGTGGCTAGCCTGTATGTTTACAGGAAGATTGGTATACACAACCATTATTTGTGAAATAGTAGTGGCATGAGTTGCAAAGGGTGGGTATATCCCCACTGTTACAGAACCTTTTCATGGACGAGTTACTGTGTCCTCTCTCTATCATGATTTATATAAAGCACTTGAATATGCAAACGACTAAAGACTAAACTATCCTAGTCCAGGGTAAGTGAAATAATGTGGTGAAAGGACGCATGTAACAGGCCTGGAACATAATCGACCAAAAAGAGCAAGACAGAGCTGATATGATATCTGAAACGTCGAGGTGAAGAGATACTTCTGTCAGAGAGGTCATATATCTGGGAGTGATACTAGATCCATGGTTAACAGGAAAGCAACACCTAGAAAAAGTGAAAAGTATGGCGCAGATATCACTGATGCTGGGGCTAGATTCACATATGGAAAGTCATGGGAGCTAAACCAGGCATGATGTGCTCACTCTATACCATTATGGTTGAAACCATGATATGTCTATGGTCTGGTGATAGAACAAACGACTGCCAACTTAGCATGGTTTGTTGATAGCTACATTGGAGCATTGTATACATTCTTGAATCTTTCACCTTTATATTTCGCAATAATGGTGGAGGCAAAAGTGGGCAAATTCAGATTGGAGATATAATAATAACGATTCATTTTCCCATGTTTACAGTAGAGAAAAAACAATAATTCAAAACTATAATATAACTAAGTATGAACAAAGCAAAAACAAAGAGAAATCTGCTCTGAAAATAAAATAAAATAGATGATTTCATACATTTTGGGAGTATGGTGACAATTTAAATAAATGATCAACAACAAAATTCACCTTGTTACAATGAATCATGCAAAACTGAAATTTTGGAACCTGTTGCGCGTATGACAAAATGTTTGGTATAGAACCAGATTGGAAAGTATGACTATTAGAAATATAGCAGTTTCTTTGAAAACACTCGATAATATATTAATGGAAGGAGCATCTGAGAAGAGAACGGTTAAGGGGCTATTTGTTGAACATCATTTACTGAGACGACACTTGAACAAAATAGGGCTCTACCATGAAAACCTCAAACAGCTCGTCATGTTTTATGTAACTGTGAGGCACTGAATCGCAGAAGGCAAGTAATCAATGGAAAACCCACATTCTTTCTAGAAGAATATGATTTTCAAGAACCGCAAAATAATATATCTTTCAACCTCCCTAGTGGTGCGAATGTTTTTCTGATTTTCATTAATTGTGATGACCGTGATTTTTTTTTAAAAGAATTGGATACCTAATCACANAATAAATAAATAAATAAATAAATGATCAACAACAAAATTCACCTTGTTACAATGAATCATGCAAAACTGAAATTTTGGAACCAGTTGTGCGTATGACAAAATGTTTGGTATAGAACCAGATTGGAAAGTATGACTATTAGAAATATAGCAGTTACTTTGAAAACACCCGATAATATATTTATGGAAGGAGCATCTGAGAAGAGAACGGTTAAGGGGCTATTTGTTGAACATCATTTACTGAGACGACACTTGAACAAAATAGGGCTCTACCATGAAAACCTCAAACAGCTCGTCATGTTTTATGTAACTGTGAGGCACTGAATCGCAGAAGGCAAGTAATCAATGGAAAACCCACATTCTTTCTAGAAGAATATGATTTTCAAGAACCGCAAAATAATATATCTTTCAACCTCCCTAGTGGTGCGAATGTTTTTCTGATTTTCATTAATTGTGATGACCGTGATTTTTTTTTAAAAGAATTGGATACCTAATCACATAGGATGAAAAATATTGTCTAATAAAGGTGTGTATTGAGTTTATCAATATCTAAATGTAACAATTTGTACTCCACCTAAATTTTAAAAAACACTGTGATCCTCGATCAGTGGATCTTCAAGAGGCATTCGACATTGTTGGTCACAAAAGTCTAGTCTGAGTATATTGTAAATAGTAGGAATCAAGAATAGCTGTTGTTCGTTTTTGGTGTTAAAATGTTTTGTCAGTGAAAAAACATTTGAATCAGAGATGAAACCAGTCTATTCTTTGGAAACAATTAAATTTTGAGAAACCTTTAATCAAGTCATTAATTCAGAGAATAAATCAATGGAAAAGAAAGGTTTTGGCTTTCTACTTCTCCATCTTCACACAAAAAGTTAATCTCTCCTAAAAGTATACTCCTTTCAATCTAAATAAATCATTGTTCAAAAGGACTCATATCTAAAAACTACCCTGAGCCTAGCAATACGTTGGTCTATGATGAGAAAAATACTTTTTTTTCGAGAGAATATTTTCGAGTCTAGAGTCACTTGTCAAATCATCACGAATATTCTCAAAAAAGTATTTATCTGCAGCTTGGCATTGGTTTTTTTTTGTAAACTCACTTTTGTGGTAGATGCAAATGAATATTATGATTTTGATCTAGATAAAGAAATTTAAATGAGTTAACATGTCACATTTTTCAGTGTCAATCTGGAAGTGGAATATGGATTGACTATATACTGAATCAATTAGATGTTATGTTTAAGAAATAGTACCAATGAGCTGTGTACCGAGTCAAGACACAATCACAACCACTGAGATTCCACTTCCAGTGAGCATTTTTACTATTAACACTTACCAATAATACAATAACAATCAGTATAATACCGGCAACAGCATACCAATAATCTATAACCCATTGCTTGAAACTGGCTATACTTTCGTCAGACAATAAGAGCTTCCTCAAAGTGGCAAGAGGACCTGAAGGATCTACCTCACGGCACATTTGGAAAACATCACAATATCCTATGNGGGCCAGATTGATGACAGTAAATCATTGGCTGTCGCGGGCCGGATTGATGACACTGGCGAGCCGGATTTGGCCCGCGGGCCTTAGTTTGGAGACCCCTGATCTAAGCGATCATTTATTTTCATCTATAATGAAATGAATATGATTTTTGTCTTTGATGCTGTCACCACTCCAAAAACTATGGAAACAAACTATAAACCAAGTCTACCCAACATGGAAAAACGATAGTTGACGTGCTTTGCTGAACCTACCAATAATATCGCATGTTTATGAAAAAAAAAACTATTTAGTTCTGATTATATAACAAAATGTAACTAGAAAAAATTTCTCATGAACAATAACTATAACACTTCAGTGTCGGATAGACCAGAAGTATATAAGTCAAAGGAAATATACCTATTTCTGTTTTATATTTGTGGGCAAATATAAAACAGAAATATGACAAGCTACTGATTAGATATACTTTTCAGATTGAGTGTGGAAGGTTAAAAACCCAGAAAATCAGCGAAAAATATATCACTTCACTTGTAGTTCTTGTCCATAACTGTATATTGGGGAGAACTTTTTCCCAACGAATGAAAGAGCGTGTGTATACTAATTCGACATTTGCAAACCATCTTTTGACATAGGAACAGAAACTCAATCATAACTACGACATTCATGATAGAACTGAATAATTGTACTTTATTAAATTTGTTTCCTAATGTGGAAATTGGTAATCAATTAACCACTTATTTCCCAAGAAACATTCAATTCTTTTATAGAAGGGGAATTAACAAGTTGAAAATAACAGACACATGAACAGTAACAATAAAGTAACAGTTGAATATTGCATTTAAGGTTGATTCATTACATGTTCGATTGGATGATTTCGATCTTGAAATATACAATTATTAGTCATTAAGTAGTTAACCTCAAATAATGAAACTATACGAAAAGCACTCACACGTTGCGATTTTATTGTTGAATAGTAGTAGTTAGCTGAATTTCTCCTTCACATACAGAAAACATGTTTTTGTTGAAGTTTCTCTGAATAATACTAACCTATATAATTGTTACAAGGAGTTCCAGGCTTGGAATACATATCCGGTATGTCGTAGGGCATGTCATTCCACTCAAATGACGAAAGACACGGCTGATTGTCACCTGGTAATTTGCAGCAAAGTTCGCAGGCTTTAGTTTTTGGATCGCTGTTAGTTGGTATGCATTGGCACGATTCCAGTCCGTATGCCAAACATATTGAGCCCGTACATTCCTAAGAAAAATTGGAAAGTTTANATTTACAAATCATATAGCTTTTCACCAGGACTCATCTCATATGAACCATAGCAGATTCTAGAAGAATTCTGAAGAGTATTCCTTTTAGAAACATTTATGAATGATTAATCTCTATCATCATTTCATTCATCTAAGCGATCATTAATTTTCATCTATTATGAAATGAATATGATTTTGTCTTTGATGCTGTCACCACTCCAAAAACTATGGAAACAAACTATAAACCAAGTCTACCCTACATGGAAAAACGATAGTTGACGTGCTTTGGTGAACCTACCAATAATATCGCATGTTTATGAAAAAAAAAACTATTTAGTTCTGATTATATAACAAAATGTAACTAGATGTTTTCTGGGAAAAATCTTTGTGGCTTTCACTTCTTCATCTGTATACTAACAGTTGTGAGAGATTCAGAAAAGAAGAAAGAGAGCAATCATGTTCAACTCTTCACAAAGATGTTCAGATCATGCAAAAAGTTACTTTCAATAATAAACTGGTAGATAGAGCCCTCTCCAAACAACTAGTTTCAAATAAACATCTAGATAGGTGGTGTTGACGTGATACAAGTGTCTTATTCCAAAATTCGTTCTTGAGAATAACAGGGTTCCATGTAAGTGAAATTTTATTTCATAACTCTTTCATATATATTGTGTAGCAATCCTATAAATAATATCTAATTCAATTTTATATTGTTTGTATGAAAGTACTTTGTAACTGAAAGTAACTTCTTTGCATGATCTACACTTTCTTGTGTAGGGTTCAGTTTGAACTTAATTGCCCTCTTCCTTCTTTTGAAAATTTCCCTAAATTGTTTGAAGAAAGATGAGGGAGTGAAAGACAAAAATTTTATTTCCCAAAAAAAAACATTATATAGTTTTTGGCAATAATAGAGCAAAATAAAAGAAATATTTGATGAAGAACTTTTTGATGGTTATTTATTTTGCTAATTAAATTTTTTTTTGGTCGTTTATTGAAAAGTTAAAAACCAGAATTTTTTAAATTTTCCACAGGGAATCTTTTTTAAAGCCTTCACACAATAACCCCCAGATTATCAATTCAAAATTATCTTGGATGATTTGCAACTAGCAAAAATAACTAATTATTAACAGACGCATAGTTAAGTTACAATTGCGGGAAACATTTTTTGCTGGCGGATTATTTTTGTCTCTTTAATTTTCTTAATCTGTTAAAATTTATTTTTTAGTTTAAATGTCTAATTTGTTCTCCTCGGGCGGAAGCCCCACTGCACGTTTCAAACTCAACTTCCACATCGAAATTAAAATTATAAATATTATCAGCAGAGGCGGATTTAGGGGGGGCAGGCAGGGCTCCTGCCCTGGGAAGTCCATAAGAGAGGGCCCCCACAATAAAGAAAGATTAAAAAATATCCAAATTTTGACGTTTCTGCAACTTTTACGTTTTTCCTCACAAAGATTTTTTTTCATTTTTACTAAGAATACTTGCACATACATAATATTTTATCGAGCCTTTCAGTGGCCATACTTTTTTCTAATGTGTAATTTGTACCCATGAGCTGAAGAGAAATTAAAAAAGTAAAAAAGTCCGAAAAATAATTGATAATTAGGGGCCTGCGTTGCTTCGTTGCTCCAGGGCCTCCAGACTTCCAAATCCGGCCCTGATTATCAGTACAATTCAGAAGAAAGGACCTTATTTCAGTAAATTTCTTGCTTTTGTACCAAATTTATATATTTTCTACCTAATTTTTTATGACTTTTGTAATTTTTGCCGACCCATTTTTTCTAATGTTTCATAAAATCGAATGACAACTCGCTCATGATTTTTGGTCTTTTAGATCAAGTTTTCGATAAAATAGCGCTTATGAACCAGACTATTAGAGGGAATGAAGGGGTTGGGATGAGAGGTCCGCCGCCACGCGTGTCGGCCATTCGGACGTCATTATANTATAATATATCCCTTTCAATTTGAACAAATTATTGTTCAAAAGGACTAATATCTAAAAACTACTCTGAGCCTAGCAATACGTTGGTCTATGATGAGAAAAATACTTTTTTTTCAAGAGAATATTTTCGAGTCTAGTCTAGAGTCATTTGTCAAATCATCACGAATATTCTCAAAAAAGTATTTATCTGCAGCTTGGCATTGGTTTTTTTGTAAACTCACTTTTGTGGTAGATGCAAATGAATATTATGATTTTGATCTAGATAAAGATATTTGAATTAGTTAACATGTCACATTCTTCAGTGTCAATCTGGAAGTGGAATATAGATTGACTATATACTGAATCGATTAGATGTTATGTTCAAGAAATAGTACCAATGAGCTGTGTACCAAGTCAAGACACAATCATTTGACTTGGCATTTGCTTTTCCATCACTGAGATTCCACTTCCAGTGAGCATTTTTACTATTAACACTTACCAATAATACAATAACAATCAGTATAATACCGGCAACAGCATACCAATAATCTATAACCCATTGCTTGAAACTGGCTATACTTTCGTCAGACAATAAGAGCTTCCTCAAAGTGGCAAGAGGGCCTGAAGGATCTACCTCACGGCACATTTGGAAAACATCACAATATCCTATGAAGAAATAATATTATAATTACGAATTCGTATTGGCAAACAAGTTTTACCAAGTTCCTCATTATCTTGTTGAGGCATAAGAGTGGAATACTCAGATTTAAACATGATCTGGTGAAATCCCGTAAGCATATCATTTATGATAATAACCGAGAATCATTGACACAGTTTACTTGAGAATGGTTCAATAAACCAGAACCGTTCGCAACAATCTTTGTATAAATTAGACAAAACATATTTTTTTCAATATCAAACAAACGACTAATCATTTACCCCCTCTTACTGTAAGAAAGTTGTCATGTTCACTTAATGATCCTTTAATCTCATGAAGACATNTACTTTTCAGATTGAGTGTGGAAGGTTAAAAACCCAGAAAATCAGCGAAAAATATATCACTTCACTTGTAGTTCTTGTCCAAAACTGTATATTGGGGAGAACTTTTTCCCAACAAATGAAAGAGCGTGTGTATACTAATTCGACATTTGCAAACCATCTTTTGACATAGGAACAGAAACTCAATCATGACTACGACATTCATGATAGAACTGAATAAATGTACTCTATTAAATTTGTTTCCTAATAGGGGAATTGGTAATCAATTAATCACTGATTTCCCAAAAAACATTCAATTCTTTTATAGAAGAGGAATTAACAAGTTGAAAATAACAGACATAGTAATAACTTGAACAGTAACAATAAAGAAACAGTTGAATATTGCATCTAAGGTTGATTCACTACATGTTCGATTGAATGATTTCGTTCTTGAAATATACAATTATTAGTCATTTAGGAATCACACGTTAAAAGGTAAGACCTCGGTAATCCTTGGCTCGCACAAGTTTCGACTTCTGAGGGTTGTCGTTCGTAGGGGTGCGACAGCTGGTTAACGGAAAAACAGATTTTCAAACAGATTTTTTTTTAAGTGGATAACCTCAAATAATGAAACAATACGAAAAGCACTCACACTTTGCGATTTTATTGTTGAATAGTATTAGTTAGCTGAATTTCTCCTTCACTAAATTTTTTTTTATAATGTGAAGTGTATGAAATCATCAAAAATACGTCACTAGGATGGGTTTATTTGTTGAAAAATTGAACAAACAAATTCAAAAAGGTATCAATGATCATATCATGCCAAAGTTCGACGTTTCTGCCTTCATATATCTGATTACATACAGAAAACATGTTTTTGTTGAAGTTTCTCTGAATTATACTAACCTATATAATTGTTACAAGGAGTTCCAGGCTTGGAATACATATCCGGTATGTCGTAGGGCATGTCATTCCATTCAAATGACGAAAGACACGGCTGATTGTCACCTGGTAATTTGCAGCAAAGTTCGCAGGCTTTAGTTTTTGGATCGCTGTTAGTTGGTATGCATTGGCACGATTCCAGTCCGTATGCCAAACATATTGAGCCCGTACATTCCTAAGAAAAATTGGAAAGTTTAGAAAAAACTGTTATGAATCATGCCCTAAAGAAAAAAACGCCGGCCGCCACTGGTAGCCATAAACCAATTGTGACATGGCCAAGAGCACCCAGAACAACCCATTTTTCGCGAATGTCCGGCTTCCATGGAATTCCGAGGAACGAGGAATTTTCTACGGCCTTCTATTACCAAATATAAACACGATCCACTCGCCTATCGAGACAGTCAAGTGGACGTTACAGTGCGGTACGCGGACCGATCTAGTAAGACGATAGACATTTGAATAGTAGTTGAAGTTAAAGTTAAAGTGTTTTGTTGTATTAAAAGTGGAATAAAGTTAAGTTTGATCATTATACAGTGTAGTCAATTATTGATGAATCCACAGCGAAAAACATAACAACACTAATAATAATATCATTTATTGCCTAACAGGTAACACCCAATCACAAGAAAAAACAGTTTTAATATCACTTTAAGATTTCCATTGCAACTGTTTTTATATGATTCGCCGAACAAGTATTAATATCGCAAAAGCTGCATATTGAGTTGTAGTTTCCACACATATATTTGATTGAAGAATGCGATATTATGTTTGTTCGTGCTGCAGAGCAGTGAAATGTGAGATTCAGCCGTGACTGAGCTCTTGGCACCCTGAAGTTCAGTTCTGACAGGAGCAAATGGCAGTCTACTTGGCTGTGCAGTATTTTATGCAAAAAGTTTATGCATACAAAATTATTTAAATACTGAAAAAAGAGAAATGAAATAATGCATTCAACATTTGAAGGGATTTGTTTCTATTTCACCATTTGGCAACATCAGTTATAATTAATAAAGGACAATGAATATGTTACCTATATGAGACGAACAAAGATGACATATTTCAGAGGCGTGCTGTTCTGTTTACTTATGTTCCGAGTTCCGAGATATTATGTGATATATGACATTTTGTGCACCTAACCTATCTTCCTCTATATGAATAAATGAAAAAACAACTGTTGTTTATGTGGCTTGTGGAGGTGGTATCGAACTATAATTTATATTTTCCTTAATTGTTGATTTATAATGATACTTTTCCTTTTTTAAAGTAGAATATCTAGTTACGTATAAATTATTTCAACTTGATATAGGCGCTGTTGCCAATATGTGAATTAGAAACAAATCCCTTTGAAAATTAAAACCCAACATTTGAAACATCAATTTGAATACTTTTCGAAGTGAATTTGAAAAACTCATGAATTAAACTCAGCTCTATTTTGTTCAAACTTGCATTTGCTGTAATAAACCAAATTGAGGAACATTCGCTGGTGTTCCAACTTCAGCTTATAAATTCATCTGAGTATACACCTAAAAACTTCACCGTAGAGCACCGGCCATCAAATGCCTGCTTCCACGTAGCCCCGCTGAATACGGGAATGACAGAGTCACTTATGGTTGTTATTCCCTAACTGAATGGCTCAATCCTAAGGTGTGTGTATCCGTGTAGAGAAGATGATTGACACTGAACCTACGGAACCTTCGAGATACCAGGCGCCCTCTCGTCGAAGCATCGCCATGTCATGGTAATGCGGGGCTCTGCCGTGATTGACGTTCTTTCCCTAGGTACTCGTGGGACTTTCATGGACAGAGTAAACTAAAAAATTCTTTCTGACGCTGAGTCTATAGAGGAGATGGATGTTGAGCTTACGACTCCAACTGACCTCCCTGTAAATTTAGATCAGGAGAGAGTCTACAGAGGAGATTCATGTCGAATTTACGACTCCAACTGACCTCTCTGTAAATTTAGTTCAGGAGCGAGAGCTTCTCAACTCCCCAACTCCTGATCCAATAACTGAACCTAAAAAAAAAGGTTTGGTGGAGCAGTCAGGAAACAACTGAGTCGTCTCCTCAAGAGCTCTGCACGATTGAACGTAAGGCATAGTCAGGTGTAGCTGACGTCAAAAACCCTCATATGTGGAAGTTGTGGCGGGTATCAAGGTGGGAATCTTGCACCTAAACTATCCGACTACCTCATTAACGATGAAACAGCAGAGCATATACTTGCCTGCCCGGTTTCCTTAAGAATATGGGTTTATTTGATCGTATGTGAATAAGTGTGAGCCAAAATAAACCCTTGCGGGTTGCGGTGGAGGGTCGAATAGACCCACTCACTTTGGACCTAACCTAACGGAGTTGAAACTGGCTATTTCTTGTCTAGCATGAAATCTTTTCGTGGTGTTCAAATTTTGCAGGGTTGAGTCACCTTTGGTTAGTAGATTTTGATAAACTTCATCTGATATAACAAGTGATGAGCATATGTTGAGATGGATTCCATATTAATAACATATATTGAAAAAATATAGAGCCCAGCACTGAGGCCTGACACAAATACAGTCGCCCCCGATAATTGAATTCAAGACGTTCTAATATAAAGAATGAATCGCATCGGTATGTATCTTTGAAATCTGAAAATCATATTGGTTGTTGCCCAGCACTGAGGCCTGACACAAACACAGTCGCCCCCGATAATTGAATTCAAGACGTTCTAATATAAAGAATGAATCGCATCGGTATGTATCTTTGAAATCTGAAAATCATATTGGTTGTTCTTGTTTAAATAAACGTTCATTCTGTTCAAAAATGTTTATATCGTCGGAAATTTTAAATGTTATCCGGATCTTCGTTTTAACGAGATCCCGAAAAATTCCTGTATCTACAGTATGAACCATTTATCAATATGAAACCAGTATGAAATCAGTTGTGAAACCATCTAAAATAACATTTATGAGGTTTTTTCTTTTAATTTTCGGTTGTTCTTCCAATATTAATAGTTGAAAAATCAATTTTCAGTTTGTAAAGTACGACATATAGACTTAACTCAACACTGAAAGTGCGCCTGATTTGACGCTGTACAAGGATCTCACACATCATGTCAAACGGAACAATACCTGTAACTTCTTGTCAACTTACCCCCATGAAACAGACGAACTCCTTGTTACAGATCGTTTTGTTGGGCTTATTGATCGACGGAGGGCATTGGGGGTCTCTGCCATTACAAAAGCTTTCATCTCTACATCCATTGTCATCCCTGCATTTGTCTCCGAATTTGACTTGACAGTTCGACGTGCAGCACGGTCCCTAAACACATAAAATTAATTCAGCGTTCAATATATTAACGTATAATGCAACGTTAAAAAGTATTGCGGGAAATTTATTGCTCAAAAGTGCCATTTTATTGAAAACATATGCTAGATACAAAATTAAGATCAAGTGTCATTATTCGGGGTGGTATCTGAGAACTTTATGAATATTTTGAAGAAGGGACGGAAATATAGCAAAGAGTATAAACGATTAGTTTGTAAAAAAATGTGGCAACAATCCTAATAAATTGCGCGTTCTTATTTATACCACAATATTGAAGTTGGGATTAAAAAGCACTTCCACGCGCTTTTAACGGAATTAGACACTTGAATGAAAAAAAANTTCCATGTAAGTGAAATTTTATTTCATAACTCTTTCATATATATTGTGTAGCAATCCTATAAATAATATCTAATTCAATTTTATATTGTTTGTATGAAAGTACTTTGTAACTGAAAGTAACTTCTTTGCATGATCTACACTTTCTTGTGTAGGGTTCAGTTTGAACTTAATTGCCCTCTTCCTTCTTTTGAAAATTTCCCTAAATTGTTTGAAGAAAGATGAGGGAGTGAAAGACAAAAATTTTATTTCCCAAAAAAAAACATTATATAGTTTTTGGCAATAATAGAGCAAAATAAAAGAAATATTTGATGAAGAACTTTTTGATGGTTATTTATTTTGCTAATTAAATTTTTTTTTGGTCGTTTATTGAAAAGTTAAAAACCAGAATTTTTTAAATTTTCCACAGGGAATCTTTTTTAAAGCCTTCACACAATAACCCCATAAGAGAGGGCCCCCACAATAAAGAAAGATTAAAAAATATCCAAATTTTGACGTTTCTGCAACTTTTACGTTTTTCCTCACAAAGATTTTTTTTCATTTTTACTAAGAATACTTGCACATACATAATATTTTATCGAGCCTTTCAGTGGCCATACTTTTTTCTAATGTGTAATTTGTACCCATGAGCTGAAGAGAAATTAAAAAAGTAAAAAAGTCCGAAAAATAATTGATAATTAGGGGCCTGCGTTGCTTCGTTGCTCCAGGGCCTCCAGACTTCCAAATCCGGCCCTGATTATCAGTACAATTCAGAAGAAAAGAACTTATTTCAGTAAATTTCTTGCTTTTGTACCAAATTTATATATTTTCTACCTAATTTTTTATGACTTTTGTAATTTTTGCCGACCCATTTTTTCTAATGTTTCATAAAATCGAATGACAACTCGCTCATGATTTTTGGTCTTTTAGATCAAGTTTTCGATAAAATAGCGCTTATGAACAAGACTATTAGAGGGAATGAAGGGGTTGGGATGAGAGGTCCGCCGCCACGCGTGTCGGCCATTCGGACGTCATTATAACGGCCGTTGAGGCAGAACAATTAATGAGGCTTGTTTGGGCTTTCGAGCCTCGTTGGGAACAGACTAACTCGCTTATTTCGTCAACAGCATATGACTAATGAGGTTTTGTGGTTACTTTGTTATAGACTGAAATGCGGACCAACCCACTTACCCATGTGGTTTTAAAAGGGAAGAATTGCGATATATGATTTCATATCCAGTCAAGTAATAGAAAAAAGTATTAAATGTAGTCAGTAAGTTTCGAAAAGAAAATGAAGAAGCTGATCAAACTCAATAGCAATATATTGAAAGAGCTGATTTTATATCGAGTCAAGTAATGAAATGAAGTATTTGATGTAGAACGGTTGAGACTTTGAGTTTCAATGGTAAGTTCCAAAAAGAGAATACAAAAGCCGAATAAACTTGATAGCAATAAAATAAAAGAGCTGATTTTATATAGACGCACGTAATAAAAAAAAATTCGATTCAGATCAGCTGGGATTCAGATCAGCTATCGAATTTCGATAGTATATTTCAAGATAAAAAACCAGCAATCAATCTTAATAGAAATGAAATCAGCTCCAAAAGAAAAAACAAAAGCTATTTAAACTTGATAGCAATGAAATGAAAGAGCTGATTTTATATCGAGTCATGTGATGAAAAGGAGTATTTGATGTAAATCAGCTGAGATTTTGAGTTGAGTAGGTTCCAAGAAGAAAAAGAAGATGCCAATAAAACTCAATAACAATATAATGAAAGAGCTGATTTTGTACTGAGTCACGTAATGAAAATGAGTTTTATTGTAGATCAGCTGGGATTTTGAGTTTCAGAAGTGAGTTCCAAGAAGAAAACGAAGAAAGCTGATCAAACTCAATTGCAATGAAATCAGCTTCAAGAGAAAAAACATAAGCTGATTAAACTTGATAATAATAAATATTNTCAAACTCAATAGCAATGAAATCACCTTCAAGAGAAAAAACATAAGCTGATTAAACTTGATAATAATAAATATTTCTGGAGTTTTTTCCCAACACCAAATCGTTATTTTCAACACCTCGACACGTGTTTCGATCACCAAGTGATCATCTTCAAGAGAAATATTTCGACATGATATGGAGAAATGAAATGAAAGATCTATCATAGCATCAATACAGAATCAGTATATATCAAAAATTTATAATAATTATATTACCTGAGATGGACTGCAAACACTGTTAGGAGTGAGAAAACAGGGCGGTTCATCTATGCTAGCATATCTCCTCATAGGAAAACAACATTGATCTCTACAGTCCTCTTCCCAACCACAATCGCATTCTTCTCCTTCTTCAACTACTCCGTTGCCACAAATTGCTGCTTTAGGCTCTGGAAGTAAACACGAGGATTGTTGAATGGCCAACCCCATATTACACCGGATATCCTATGGATATCCAACGCATATACAATTCAAGTCAGAATATCCTTGGTCACAAAATGGATGTACATTATGGAGGATATCCTATGGACATCCATGAATTGTCCACAAAATGTGCGATATCTTATAAACGTCTAGATTGGTACTCTACGGACATCTATAAGATCTCTTGAATATTAATTGGATGTCCAACGGATGAATATGTGTTGCCTGGGACGTAAAATGTATATTTTTGTTTTCAGTTTATTGTTATATGTATCTTGAATTTGTTTATCGAATCAATCAGAGTCTTTAATGAGGCCTTTATGATGCTTTACTGGTTATTTCAGCTTTATGTCTGGTCAGATGCAAGAATAATCGTTATGGTATATTGGTACGGATCTGGGTTTTTTATTGAGAGACAAATTTGTGTATTGAAGACTTTATTTATTCTTTCGAAAATACAACTAAAAGTATCTTCATTCCTCGAAAATATCGATTTTACAATAACTTCCCGGGTTTTTGGTCAGACAGTGGCTGATTGGTTAGCGAGTGTTACTCATGGAACCATTGCTATTGTGAAAGCTGGTTCGAGACCAACTATGGGACGACCGGCTTTCACTCCGTAAACCGTAAATGATCAGAGCGAAGTTTCTGAGATATCATTTATTCACCTCCTTCCTTCATCTTGAATCAAATTTCGCTTTCACTCAGCTACATGATGATTCATCTTAAGTCTCTCGGTGGGTCAGCTTCGCAACATTGCCCCCTCATTAACTCCATCTCGGGTAACCCGTCTGCTTGATTTTGACCTAATCAATTCGAAATATCTTCACCATTATAGGAAGCTGGCCTTTCTACGTGGGTAAAAAATGGTTTGCTTGATGTAGTTGAATGCGATATATACTTTTGGTGACTTGAAAGTAGAGATCTTTCTATTTTTTCTGGAGATTAAGACAAATTAGACAAAATAGAATATAATTTATTCGTGCAATGCATACATAAATAGTATTCACATACATTAATGGGATAAATAGTATAAAAATTAAAATCAATGTAACAGAATACAGTCAAATAAATACATATGGGTAGCCTTACATTTGTTTTGGCCCTGGTATCATGGTAGTGTATGTCCTCCTGCTTAGTCAATGCATTTTCACCTATTAAATTTCTAACATAACACAGACATTCATATATGAAGCAAGATTGCAGAGTTATTATACGGAGATTTTTTAAAAGAGGTTAACAATATTCGTCGTATTAATAGCCTGTGCCATAATTCTTACTACTTTTTTTGTAGTTCAAATATTATATCTAGATGAGATGATGAACCTCAAATTATTGGTCCATATGTCATTATGCTATGAAAAATGGCAAAATGAGCTACTCTTAAATAATCCGTTGTTATTATGTTGCTAAGTTGTCTTGTCATGTATATATACGTGGATAGTCGCTTTGATAATTCGTGAATATGTGAAAAGAAATTCAAAGATGTGTCAAAATACACTCCAAGAAGCTTGACTGGTGCATTATTTTTTATATTATTCTTAGTTGAGAAATCTAAAGTTTTGGTTTCATCATCATTTATAGTGAGATAATTACTTCTAGACCAGTTTGCCAAAATGGTTTCAGATGCATTAGCGTTACAAAGTAGATTGTGAGGTATAGTGTCACTCAACAAGAAATTTGCATCATCAGCGAACATTATAGGAGACACAGTAATTACGTTGAAAGTCATATCATTAATGTAAATAATAAATAATACAGGGCCCACGACTGAACCCTGTGGTATTCCATAATTGACTTTTAAAGGCTTTGATATGTCGCCGTTGATTTTAACACGTTGCTGGCGGCCTACGAGGTAGGATGTGAATAGATTTAGAGCTTTTCCTCTGATCTAATTTTTGTAATAACTCACCGTGGTCCACCGTATCAAATGCTTTGGACATGTCATAAAATTTCGCACAGCACAATTTACGCTCCTCAAAAGCTTCTAGAATATTTTTATACATTTCGCAGATTTCACAGATAGTAGTTCTCCTCTGTCTGTAACCAAATTGAGCATTGCTCTTTTGCTCTGGGAAAAACGGACCATATCTTCTCGCTTCAGGTCTGATGCCTATTGTTTTTCTGTCTTTTAGCAATCACTGGTCATTTACAGAATAGCGACCCTGCAATTTCTTTAATTTTCCCTGTTTCCTGACTTGCTCAACACACGTAGTGTCTCTCTGATTTTGTACTCAGTGCAATAGAGATTTGGAAAAGTTGTTCCATACTTCTTATATCATCATTGACGGAAACAGAGTATCAAAAGCGCTTTTTACAACTGAAAATTTTGATTATAGGCGAAGTTTGGAGTATAAACAATAGACGAGTTTAGAAGATGGCCTAGCAGTTTAAAGACCTTGCAATATTCATCAGCGTATTATTTTTTGACATGGGTTCGGAAATTTATACATTGTATTGAGTGTTCCAAATACATATTTTCTCAATATACAAATCTGATTGATAACTACTGTTTTAAACCAGCCCAAATTAATTTCTTTACCAACCTGTTTTCAGGGATTTTTTTAATTCAACTTTCTGATTGGAAACCCATCTTCATCATGATTATTGTACTTCATTTCAGAAAACTTGTGCTACCATTCACAATATCTCATCAACAGATTTTTTGTTGTTTGAACGGACTACTTTCCGTGAAGTTTTCACAAGTTATTTATGACAACTCAGATGAACATAAATCCGTTGGAAATGAAAAGAAGCAATAAACGAGCTCGGCGTATTATAATTTTGAGTAAATTAGGAGAATTTTGTGAAGTGTTCTCGGTACATATCTTAATTTTTCATTAAAACTTCTTGTTTCTAATTTAACTTTTGAGGAAACTTCCTCTTACCGAACATTTTGAAGTAGGTAACTGTACCTTACTCTGTTATCCCACTTCTGAATTGTTCCCGACAACAGTATATTGTCATTAGAAGAGTTTCTGCGTACATAATTAAAGACAATAAATCTTCTGGGGATATACAAAGCTTTTTGTTATTTGCTGTTAATGAAATAATTTCGTAATAATTGTAATACATTCGACTATAACGAAGACATTATTAACTTTCAATAAATTGATGGATGTAGCCGTTACTACGTGGTAGGAGATCACTTATACAACTTTATTGTATAAGTTTGAGAAAGTCCATAAAGGACGAAACTGCAGTAACGTTAGTTACAAATAAAAGTGTTAAAAAACATAGAAATTTTCATTTCTCTTTTCATTACTAACTTATCAACAGAACAGCATCAACTGACCACAACTGACAACTGACAGATAGGACAGTGTTGCCAAAATGCTAAACTAACACTTTTCTTGTAAACTACAGATTCAGTTAACATGGAGATTCAGAATCAGAAATCAGAATTCATACAAAACATTCATTGTTTTTTTAGATGGATTATTTAGTTTTTTTTTAAACTTGAGATTTTTGTTCATAATTAACAGTATAATTGACATCAATAGTGGAAAAGTTGAAAATTGATAATTATGAACGAAAAGTAGAATGTATCCAACAGCTGTTCATTCCAGTTAAACATTCTTGGTTGGTTATTTGAGTTTCCCGAAAGTTCTTAATTGAAATAAATTGAAGTAGTTTCTTGATTCATATCCCACTTCTGATTAATATTGCTTCCAACTTGTAATTCAATTGCGTCAAAACATTTTAGCGTTTATGAATATTCGTATTTGAACCGACAATTTCCATTAACTAGTGAATTCAAAGTTGATTGAAAGTGTTTATATCAGAAGATGTGAATGATATTTATTTTGAGTAACCACTTTTTTTTCAACTGAAGTAAAATGTATGCAGGTTCATATTCATAGTAAAACAGGATGTTTTGTCAGGGGAAAATATAAGTGTACAACGAAGGAAATCATATCCTAATTGAAGTAATTGGAGAAAATGGTAGATGAGAAGAATTTATATTCAACGACAGTGTCCAGTCCAGTCGTGTTGGACAAGAACTAGAAAATATAAAAACAGCAAATATGAAAAGTAGAAAAATGAAAAACATCTGTAAATCAATTCCAATGGTTGAAATTTTGGTGAATAGAACAGAAGAAGCTGAAGTTGATAAGAAATTCAAAGCCACTATCAAAGTGCATTATTGTTTGATGTGTCAAAGAAAAAATTCAATAGCTAGTAGTGGGACCAGCTGAGTTTCTCTATAACCCTTCTTTTTTCCTATAAGTCCTTGCTAAATTTTCAAAAAATATTATTTTTTGTTCAATTCAAATTGAAAACTTATGCATTTTTGAACAACACCAAACAGATTATCTAGAAATTAACTTGAAATAGTGTCTTGAAAAATGAATATCCGGTGAAGTCAGCTATCTCACGAGCCAGCTGTTTAGATCTCATAGTATATCATAAGTCTCGCCAATGTTGGGACTAAACAGGTTTTCCAAAATCGGGATTATCAAAGCGGAGGAGTTGCTGTAGCTTCAAAGCGCATCTGTAGATAGATCAAATGAAAAAAAAAGAGCAAAATGCTCCTTCAATCAGTTATATCACTTATTTCTGATTATTTCTGGGTAATCATCGTAACGGTTTATGATTTCAGTACCAATTTCCCACGAGATCTCATAGTATATCCTTAAGTCTTGCCAATGTTCGGACTAAACAAGTCTTCCAAAATCGGGATTATTAATGAAAAGGAGTTACTGTAGCTTCAAAGCAAATCTATAAACCAAAAAGAACAGAATGCTCCTTTAATCAGTAAGATCACTTATTTGGAAAGGAACCACTTGGTTCCAAAAGAAGACAGAGATCTCTAATAACATTGAAAATTCACAGTTCACCCCTTCTGGGACGATGAAAACCACGAATAACAAATACACATCGCAAAAGTTGTTGAGGTTGAAAGTGGATTCTAGTAATGAAATAAGTTATTAGAGGCTAGAATCCCAAAGACAAAAAAGTGGAGCCAAAACTATAATAATTGAATTCAAGGAAACCAGACTTATGGTTAATTAATCAACTGAGAACAAACCAGTAGAAAAAAATTAACGTACAGTTGGTTCGAAGATAGTTCAACAACGGAGTTAACCTGATTTTCAGCACACCTGGTACATTTTGAAAAGGTACAGAAGTCAATGAGATTTCCAAAGTTTCTGCGATGACGTTTTGTGTCACAAATGGAAAATCTCAGACGAGTCACCAGAAATCAGCTGATCGTATTGATCAACAATCCAGAAATGTGCTGGATCAACGTCATGAAAGTCATACTGAAGAAAACCAGTGACTGTATAAATAGGGAATCCATTGTCATAAAGTTCCACGAGGAGATGCGGTGCGTTTGTATTAACCACAGAGAAAAAGTTACAAAGTTAAGAATGAGACAGAAATGTTCTTAAACGGTGACCAAGAAGGTAAACGACATAGTACTATGTCGCATCTACCAAACTCCACGGGGAAAACTACTGGTCATCTGGTAATGATGATTCCAGATAGTTACTACGAGTCGAATAGTCTAGTTACAGAAGAGCAAATGAATGGCCAATAGAATATTGGCCATTTGTGACGTCATATCTTTACCATGGTTGTGTATACTGAGCGTCAAATTAACCTCAACATACAGTAAAACGTGAGGAGGTAGTGACGAATATACTGGCTTTTCGTCCAGTTGTCACAGGATATATTATGGATATTTATTTTATGTCGATCTCAGATCCGAGATATTCTGCACCGATAGGGATATCCTATTAAGGTGAAGGGTGAGTATCACTGTCGAAGGATATTTTATGGATAGCGATAGGCAAAATACAAGTTACTTCATACCAACCAAAAATCTACTCAAATTTGAATTTTACAAGAGAAATTAGTGAATGTAATATAAATACTGAAGTTTAAAAAATGCGAATTTTTGCTTCATATCACAAGGATATCATATGAACGTTTCATATGGATATCCATCACGGATATCCTCTGGAAGTGGTCAGTGACCTCCGAACATCCTATGGATATCCTTTGGACATCCGGTGAACTTGTACGAATATCCTATGCATATACGGAATACCCGATTGGGGTATCTATTGCATATCCAGTAGACATATGTGCGTTTGAAAGGTTTGATCACATCGATTCGCAAAGGCAGATCAGTCAGTTCTGAAATTAGTTTAGGAATAGTTTCCAGACTAGCTTTGATGTTAGTAGTGATGATGACAAGTAAAATAAGTGAAATCATTTTGAAGTCTAAGTGCGTAATGTTGGGCTGTATTTTGAATTATTGAATGAAGTTGTTGAATTTGATTTGACGTACCACTTATTACTGAATAATGTGGCTCTTGAGTGTTATTTTCTCTTCATGATATTTGGATTCGATTGAAATAAATAATTCTGATTAACTTTTTATGAGCTAATGATAATGTCAATACCTGTGAAACATCCTTTGGGAGATCTTGCCTTGAAGTTCAAAACAGGATTGATGCTCTTCAAACTGCAGGGAGAAAAACGATTATTGTTTCTTTTATCTCCTGATGTAGCTCTGGCAAACATTATGAAGTTGCCGTCTTCTCCACCGGGTGAACACTGTTCTGGATCATGCTGGAATATGAAAAATACATGTTCTTATTTAATTTTTTTCGCAAACCATCTATAGTATAAAGTGAGGATGAATGAAAAGTGGTGACTCACTTTTTTCGTTATGGATAACAGTATATTATTCAACCAGTAAAAAATGTGTCCATTACTCATTCGATCGAGTAATAGCCATTTCGCGAGTAGTATACTATCATTTTTCTATGACTCACAACAGGAATTCTTTGAAATACAATTCATCTGTGATGGATATCACGAATGAGAGAAATAAGGAAAATTTTATAAGTAACCTAAAACAGCAACTACTCCAAGAAACAGTTTTGTTATAAAGTGACCAACTTTTGTAAAATATCAATAATTTCGTCACGTTACGAATTTCTATCAGGTTACATTCTTTTTTACTTCGTGTGGAAATTATTATGAATTTACTCATCTGTGATTGCTCGTCAAGATAGCGAGTTATGAATAGTTCATTCTACCTACTTACTTAACAGGAAAAGGTCACATGATTGATGCTTTTTTCTATGGTTACAGAAAAAAAATATTTCAAACTATTCTTTGTTCACAAAAAAGGCTTTTGAGTTTCAATAACTTCTACTCATTATATGCGAGCGCTTTCGATAGCAGGCTGTACTATCATTCTCATAGCTCTACTCAAACTGAACTTTTTATCTCCTTGTTTATTCCTTTATACGGTTAGAACTCCTTAGTGCAGATATTTGTCCTCTCCTTTCATCCAGATGTCTCTTTAAATTTGCCTGTACCTGGATTACATCAGGGAATATCCTTTGTGTTGGAATTTTATATTGCAGTATATTGAATGTTAGGTCTTGCTGTGTTTTGATTTGTATTTGTTTCTTAATAAGTGAATTATAATTTTTGAATTTATGGATGTTTAGGTTTTCCCAGATGTCCTTACTTGTTTTATGATTTACTTGTTTTATGAGTTTGAGGTTTTTTTTGGTGGGGGAAATATATGTTTGTTTTGTATTGCGTGTGCTGCGAGATTTGATTTGTATGTTATTGGGTTAATGTATGCTTTTTTGTTCTCGTCGTACCTTTGGATCAGTTTTTTCTTGGTTTGGCCGACATAGAATTTGTTGCAATCCGAGCATTGTATGCTGTACACTCCGTTTAGGTTTTTTTCTCATTTTTTTTCATAGTTGTTTATTTTTTGTGTTATTTTCGTGTTCGGCTTGTAAGTGATGTTGATGTTCAAGAGATTGAAGATGTTTGTTAATTTTTTGTTGTTAATTGTGTTAATTTTTAGAAATAGAGAATTTAATTATTACGAAATATCTAAGTCCACTACAATTATGCTAACACTCAACAAAACGATAAGGTCGCTAAAAAATTAAACTGCAAGTTAGTTGGTATCAACAGAAAATGATTAAATTTGCAACGTTACACAGTTATGTAACGATAGTGATAATTGTAATGTCTTTCAATAATAACCAAATGAAAAAAATGGAAGTTATGGAAAAATGTACTTACTGGAGATCCAAAATTATGACCAATTTCATGAGCCAAAGTGACATGGGATACAGCCGGAGGTACGTGCTTGCCATAATTCAATAGAGTAACTATACCGGTATTCAAGGATTTCATGCTTCCTCTGTAGTGCTATAACAAAATATAGAAGTTGTTCAGATTGAAAAAATCATTCATTTAAAAAACATGTCAATAGATTCACTGATACTACGGCGAATATTCAATTACAAGTGGGAAGAAAATAGAGTGATTTGAATGAGCATCAATGGAATGTTTTACCACATTTTCCTAGATAATGATGAATTCTTGAATTATTTTTGTCAACTATTCAAGATACATCGATCAAAGTTACACCCTTGAACAAAATGTACAAGCGATTGCTATTTGAGTTAATGTATTTGGATAACTTGAATCAAACCCGTTTGTGTTTTTCAATGTAGTATTCAGGTGGCAACCTGACGTAAATTCAACCTCCTTTCATTTTTTCAAACAATCAAAATTATAATTTCAATCGAATATTTTGACTGGTCCTTCAAAGAAAGTTGATGAGATCTATGGCAGGTCGAAACAGCACTCTCTGTTTGGTGTTAGATCATGAATGCTTTATGCTCTGGTTTCACCACAAGGAAATTAGTAAGCAGATTAAGAAAGTGAGATATAAAATTTGTATCTTATAGTTGTAGAAGTATTGCTCAGAATATTTGTAGAATGGCCATAGAACTATTGGAATTCATAATTCAAATATTCCATGCGAGGTAGACATATTTTTTGCCAACTCAAAAACAGCTGAATTCAACCAATCCCTGAGGAGAAAAACACCTTTGAAAAAGTTTCACACCAAATGAAATACTGTTAGAGATCTGCTTAAGGATTTTATTGAATTTTGCGTTGTTAAACATCTGAAACGTTCAGAGACCATGAAAGATCGAAAATATGGTTTTTGCCTCCACCAGAGATCACCAATAATGTGATGGTGATTAATGGGAGCTGCTCTGATTCGTTAAAAATAACACCGACGTACCTCAGGGTTCAATCCGGATATCGAATCAGTTCCTTTCTTCAGAAAAACATTCTAGTTATGATAATAGCCCAATCTGCACATGTGACAGTGACTTTCATTTTTACTGGTCATTCAAAACTCTTGATCAGTGACCAATGGTACTGAAACGTGAGGGTTCTCTTCCAGTTGAAGATATGAAATGGTTGGTGCTATGTACTAGGTGGGTAAGTACAGTAGTACCATCCATGTACTTGTATTTATGGAAGAGAAAGATTTGAATCCGTTTCCAGTGTGATCGAAAAATGTCCTCTAACGAAAATCAAATTATGGGTGGAAAAATAGACCATTGACAAACGATATGTATTGCAAGGTCTTCTTATGAAATAAAATTGATATATCAAAAACTTGAATAACAAGCGTTGCATTATCACGAAAAAAGTTATGCAGGAGTCAAGAAGTAACAGAAGTCGAATTCATTATGGCATTTTTCTGAATTTGCAATTTGCTTAGGGTAGATTAATTGTGAAATTCTTCTGAATTTAGAATTTGCTTAGGTCAAGTCTTCAATCGTTCAACTCATCAATTGAGACTGCAATCATCTACTGAAAAGGCGAAATTTGTTGGTCATGCTATGGCAATCGCACAAAGAGAAACTTTCTCTCGTTGCATTCGGCGCCCAACAACGGACCAATAAATCCTCTCGAAGAGTTACACAGACTCGAAATATTTGCAGATCTTGTAACTCTGCTCTCCAATTCGTTAGCGAATAGCGAACTGGTTCAATGAAGATAGATCGTGCCATCGACATAATTGTAATTGGCGCGCTACTCGATAAATTCGAACGTCGACATTCTCGAACCATAACCCCGACAATTATTCCCAATTATCTTGGATCAGAGAGAGACTGCGAAATCGTTCAGTCGTGTAGATGTCGAGCCTCGAATTCCCAATCGCTCGGGGCCGCAATGCCGGAAATCACTGTTCATAATCGGAGGAAACAATGAACCGAAAACAAACACACCTGTTAAGTTATTCCGTAGATCGGGATCCCTTCCGTAATGGAGTCGACGGAATTGCACTTCGGATCGGTAATATAGGGTATTTCGTTCCTGTGTATGTGTATTCACTTGTTGCGACTGCTGAAACGTCCGGATCCATTAAGAACGTAATTAGATCGGGAGGAAATTGTTTTCGAAATTAATTTCCGCTGGGTACTTTCATTGAATTGTATCAGTTTGTATTGCCGATACTCGTAACGGGAAGTGAATCGAGAGTTGCCAGTAATCTAAATAATGTTTGATGTTATGATGGAATCAATCTCTAGTGTATTCGTATGTAGTGTACAGAGGATTCACCAAGAAACATTGTCCACCACTTTCAAACATACAGAGTATTCAGTGTCACTATTTTCCGGGCTTGGAGGCCGTGGATTTTTGGAATTTCTTCCCGACGTTTCGCTGAAACCACAGGCTAGCTTCCTCAGAGGTTAATACATCCTGAGTTCATACCCTCGATGACTGGATATTACAGTCGTTAGTCAACCCTTTTCTACCTGCCACCATGCTGTTTGCTGTTTTTGAATTTCTTAGAGTGGAATTCCATATTTGATCGAGGTCCACTTCTTCTTCTTTCCTGTTGAAATTATCCGAGTGTCTATTGCCTCCCGTACCAGTCAGCTATGGTATCCCTGGTCGGAGGCAATGAGTTCCGTGTTTTCATACAGAATTCTGTGGTTTCCTTCACTGAGTGCATGTTCTGCCACAGCTGAATTGTCTGTTTGGCCTATTCTGCAGTTTCTATTATGCTCCTTCAGCCTCGTTCCCATGGATCTTTTGGCGGTTCCGATGTATACCTTCTCATAAATGCACGGTATGCGATAAACCCCTGCTGCTGACCTGAGGCTTTGTTGTATCTTTTTGGTGGGTTTAAAAACCATTTCGATGTTATCTTTCCCCAAGAGTTTTCCAATTCTGTCTGTGATCCTAGATATATAAGGTATATACGCGCGTGCAACCATCTGAGCCCTCTCCTCATTTTGAACCGTAGAACTTTTCAATTTCATGGTTTAGTTGATCTCGGGTACACTGTATCCATTCGATCTCAAGGTCACTTGAAGATGTTCCAGTTTTTCCTCTAGCTAGAAGCTGTGGACCACATATTCCTCGAGCTTGTTGCGTTAGAGTGGAGAAGATTAGTACATCTAGAAATGATATTCGCTGCTCCTGTTCAGTGTCCAATGTAAACTTGATGCTTGGGCGCTGAGGGTTCAAGAGGTCTAGGAAAAGGTTCAGAGCGTCCCTTCCATGTTTCCAGATGACACAGGTGTCATCCACGTAACGTATCCAGCCACAAAACGTTCCATGAAGTAATTGGCTATCACTAAGCTAAGTGGACCTCCCATCGCCACGCCATCTACTTTCTCATAGAATTTTTCCCTCCATTGAAAGTAACTTCCCGTGAGACATGCTCTGAAGAGTCAGACGATATCACGGAAACAACTAGGCCAGCCCCTCAGAGAGTATTCTAGTGGGAAATTGGTAAATAAGGACACAGCATCGAAGCTGACCAGAATATCCGTTGGCTACAGAGTTAAGTCCCTAATTTTACCAACTAAGTCTGTCGAATCGTTGTTTGTTTGTCTTTCCCACATGAAGCTGGAGGAGCGAGGCTAGATGCTTCGCCAGGTGGTAGGTCAGTGAGCCTAGGGAACTTACTATTGGTCTCAATATATATGTTAACACCAGGATTCAAGAACACAAGCATAGTAGCTGCCTACTGAAACTCGAGACTATGTAATAAAATACCAAAAAACTGCTGTCTTGTCTAATTCAATGTATTACCAGGCAGGACTTCATAGAGATGTCATTGAGATATTTGAGTATCCCAACAATTAAAGTAAAAAGAGTAAGATATACATGTCAACAGAACGTGGTGTTCAGTGCTCAAGAAGAGCAGAAACGGACTAGAGTACAACTTCGATCGACATCTCAGCATACCTGGGAATAACTCATAAGTGGTTTGATTTAAATATTAAAGGCAGAACCCAAATTGTTAAAACGTCAACTTCGTTATCAACCGCAGCTAGTAAAAATAGTGGAGTCCCTCAGGGGTCAATTCTTGGTCCTATCATATTTCTTTTTTATATAAATAATCTGACATTGTTGAATATAGAGAGCAGATCTCACAATAAAGTGTTTCTTGAATAAAATATTGAATTGAATTGTAGGCAGAAAGTTTCGACTTTATATTAAGTTATCCACGTTTTCATATTTTTTTCAAAGCTGCATATTTATTTCGTGCTTCAGTTAACGGTGAGCCAGTTGTCTCTCAGATGTGCTTGTTTTTCCGTAATTCCTTAGTTCACTAAAGATTGAGGAGCTGCCTCCACTATTTATAAAATGAGAAAAAATATAGAAGCAGGCGAACTTTTGAGTTTGTGGGACTACATATAGCCTAGTCTGGGTCTAGCTTATGGAACTATCACTAGTTTAGACCATTCTCTGTAGTGCTCAGTACCTCATCAGTGGTCCACGGCAGAATTAAGGACGCGATTGCCTCATCAGCTTACTAGCAATCCTAAAAAAGGATAATATGGATAGGGTTCACTCGTGAAAGGACAAAAACTCAACCTAAATCAACGAGCTGCATGTCGCGAAGTCAAAATTTAAATATGCATTTCCCTGTTGAGACTTTTCAATTGCTTGGAGGACCTTATCCAGGAACTAATCCTGGGCACATCTTCGATATGTAAAATAGGATAAAAATGTAACAATAAAATTATCCGAGATAACGTACTCACCCCATTCTTTTCACAAACTCCTCCAGCGTTTTTAAGGTCACCAGTCCATGCCAAGCCAAGAGTACCCATTTCGAAATCTCGATAGGTGAACATGTATGCCAGACAGAATGCGTCATAGTCCTCTTCTGCAAAAAGAATTCATATTTTGTAGAGATGTTTGAGTAATCTGTGAATTCCGTTGAAAACAAATATTGAAAAGATCAAGGAACACACTGAAAACACATCTTAAATATTGTCAAAGTTGCTGTTCTTCAACATCATACAAATGATTTTGAATTGCCAGAATGCATTCTTTCAATACACAGAGATCATAGTGTTGATTGGAGTTAATTTTGCGAATGCTGACACAAAGTTGGATAATTTTCCCTTAATTCTCAGAAATTCATGACCATAGGCACTTTTCCAGATGACTTCTAAGAGAGAAACCTTTGAGAGATGAGTTTGGTAATCTGAGAGACCACTCAATCGTACCACGTGTAGATATCAATCGACCACGAATTGTAGTTAGGAGAAATTGCATCACTGGTCGTGCATTATGACCTGAACAACCATCCTGTTGAAACTAAATGTCACCAAATCAATAGGAATAAGATGAACTGTATGCGCGCACATATTATATACTCGTACTGTACTAAATTGTAACGATATAATATTACTAGCACGTCTCCCAACAATCATGAACACGACACCACTCCGGCCTGTCACCAAGACCATCAATATCGACGGAAAAATCAAATTGAACGCACAGCAATATCTCGAATTCCGTGGCAGACGCTGCAATTTCCCTCTATTTTCCTCCCTCGGGATAAAAGGGAAGGCATTATCCATCCGCCGTAATTGATTTAGCCGTTATGACGAAGACGCCGAGAAAAAAAATCACGAGTTTCTTCGAAAATTGCGTCTTTCCTCATTCCAGTTGAATAAATAGGCATTGAGAAAAACATGCAGACGTCCAACGTTTTTGTGCGTAGTCTGTGAAATGAGCACAAGGTCGACGTTAAATAGAGAGAGAGAGAGAATATACTTTAGTGTCATAAGAGTAATCTTGTGGACAAAGTTTCACTTAATCTATAATACAGTTTTTTTTTTACATTTAAATTGATCAATTTTCACTTAATACATAAAATCAGTTTGTATATATCAAAAGTCATACAGGATACTGGGAAATAATAAATGAGTAAAAACAAATAAGATATATTTTTAAAGATTACCATTATAAATTCTTGTATACTATAGTATGGTCTATAACTTAAAAAACCTTTCACAGCCTTCCTGAAGCATTGCAATATTCATGTTTGCGACAAGGCTAATTGAAATTCGGGAAAAAAAGGTTACAGCTCAAATTTGACAATCTTCTTACTATAGTCTAGGCAGGCCATAAGTTGAAATTCATGTTCAACAGACATGAATCTCATGAAAATATCAGTGACAGCTCACTAGATTCAGAATGACTTATAGAAAGCTATGTGACAATGATATTACAGAATACAAAAAAATTATATTCTTATTAAAAATAAGATGAAAAAAGAAGGCTTTCAGTTTTCAATCAATAATTTTTAATCTAATGATATTTGAGAGTTATAAATGAAAGATTCTGAAAGAGAAGTGAACTTACAATGGCCCAACTCTCGGAACTCTTTCTTCATTATTAAAAGTATAATATAATAGTAGACTACTAGACAATAGTTTAATAATATCAAATATCATTTCCAAAGTCTGATGAATTATGCTGTTATCTGAACACCTTTTGATTTTTCAGAAAGCTATACAATTGTTTAATACATTTTTTTCTACCTCCGATTTCACAAACGGTGACAGCAAAGTTTTAAAAAAAAATCGAGGCTCATGTCCTAAGAGTTCATGAAAATATTTGTTCGCAACTAACAAAGGCTGCAATTGACGCCAGGTACATTTTTACATCATTGTTAATAAACCATTCATAAACAGACAATTCTAGTACATAAAAGTAACAATCTTTTTTTTACTATACTGTATTGAAGACTCCATCGAGGAAAGCTACAAATGTATGGTTCTGGTAAATGCCTGACAAAAAATAAATACTTTCCCTGCTAATACCAAGATGGACATTGGATTATAACCAACATACATTTATGTAAGATACCTCACAGAGGTTAGTCATGCAGATGAAATCAATCGAGTCGATTACCTACAGACCGGTTTCGAGATATAACCCCTCTTCTACATCTGCAAGAATAACTTCTTTCTTGCATAAATGTATATAGGATAAAATTCAATTTCTAACGTGGTATAAGCCAGGAAAGTACTTGTTTTCCGAAGGCAAAATAGGCATATTACAAGGCATTTGTATGGGGTCTTGCAACAGCGACTTCCGAACATTGACAATTGATAACGGCCATCTTATTGAAGCAACATCTGTCAAATTGGTTGTCATTTTTCAGTCTGTTTTGCCAAATCACCATGAATGGATATAGCATTCAACAACATGTGCCCAGTTCGTTGGCGCTTAGATTGACAGATACTTCCCCAGAAGGTGGAAGCATGCGATCGTCGTTACGATCCCGTTACAGGGTCAGAACCTGCTGTTCCCACAGAACTATCGCCCCATCAGTCTGCTTTCGTCGGCGGCTAAGCTGGCTGAAAGAGTCGTTCTGTAAAGGCTCAACGAAGAGGTTGAGGACCGAAATATTCTGCCTAACGAACAATTCGGCTTCAAGAAAGAGCACTCCACCGAGTTACAGGCTCTGAGACTGGTAGAAAACACCATTGAAGAGGTGAAGAGCACTTGTAAAGTTCACGCTGTCCTCTTAGATATTTCGAAAGCCTTCGACCGTTTATGACACGAAGGCCTTCTTCAGAAGTTAGTCGCGTTCGACCTGCTCTGGGGCCTGATCCAGTGGATTGGGCTGTTTGCTAGCGAAACGTTAGGATACAGTTCCAAACCATGATGGCCTTCAAACCCGAATGAAGATCGTAACAGACTCTATATATACTTCGAAGTATGTGATCAAACGATTTTCAGACTGAAGAGGATCTACGTTGCGTTATCGGTCTACTTACGAGTCACTGGTCATTTGAATCATAAAAAGATATTGTCGAACGTTTCGAGATGCCGTCTCTGTTTGGAAGATGATGTAATAGAAGTGCACATACTTTGGGATTTTAGTTCTTAACTTTCCAAATACTAGATTATTCTTGTTCTTGTCGTACTTACTAACAACATAAAATTCATTCATGCATATGAACAAGTTTAGCATTATTCGTTGCAGATCTTCCAAGAATTTGAAACCAATCACTTGAAGTGTATACAAAATATCGTTCATGAATCGCATTCACTATAGATAACGATTGTCTAGCATAAATTCCCCATCTGATCGAGTATGCTCATTCTCATCACCGACATATGCTCCGCATCTCCCAGAAACCCATAAACCTAATATTATTCATGGAGCACATCGTGAATGTTTCGTCGGAAGTATAATTGGATGAATGTACGTCAAAACATAAAACCGGCCAATGAAACGGCTTCATTTTATAGATGTTCCGGATACTTTTACTTTTCCAGTTTTTCCCGGACTCGGTAGATGAATTGTGCCCTAAATAATAAGTGGCCGGAATAAATCCGTGGAATTACTCTGTGGTAGCTGTCGTCGTACATTGGTCGCCTCTGGAGGTCTTTATGTCAGGACGTGTTGTGAAAAAAATAAATTAGAAACAATGTTGTACGTCGGCTCGGCCAAAGTTTTTGTCAGTCAATTATGCAGACAGGTTACTTTCAGGAGAAGTAACATCTTCACCCCTAAATTGGCCTTTGACCCTACGAACTTCTCTCACGTTTAGAGCCAGTGTAGTCGTTTCAGTGTGATTGCAGTGTGATTCGAGGGAAACAAACTATTACAAGCTACATCAGATTTGACCGAAATTCCTTTCTCAACTGCGAGTCAAACAACCATTGCTCACATGCATAAAATAGTCAAAATAATAACCTCGCTTTTAATCCAAACATTTTACTAAACTCTTTTGTCTCAAGCCTGATAAAAATGAAGTAAACGCTTCAATCTGCGATCTTAAGAACAAAAAGGCGTTAGGAAAAGACGAAATTAAAGCAAAACTGCTGAAATCAATATCACATTTTTTACTAGATCCTTTAGTTTTTATTATTAATAAATGTATATCACTTGGTGTGTGGTCCGACTCATTTAAAACTTCTATTCATAAAGAACAAGATAAAACTGAAATCACAAACTATAAACCAATCTCGCTTATCACCCATCTGTCAAAAATCTTCGAAAAATTGCTAGAAAAAAAGAATAACCTCATTTATAACCAAATAAGGATTGATTTCAGATAGACAATTTGGCTTCAAAGAAAAAAACTCAACAGAAGACGCGATTCCTGAACTGACAGAAATGATACATATATTCTTAGAGAAAGGAAAACCTTCTTTATGTCTATTTATTGACCTAACCAAGGACTTCGATACTGTCCTACGAACTTTAGATAATAATGGTATCAGAGGAAACTGACAAACGCTTTTTGAAAGCTATCTTCGAAATGCTAATTGTATCTGCGAATCGCAGGTACAATTAGCAATCAAATAGAATGTGGAGTCCCACAAAGTACATACTGGGTCCTCTGCTTTTCAATGTATATCTAAATGTATTATTCGATTTGGACAGAGTTGGGAAAATAATTGGATACGCAGAAGATACTGCGATATTCTATGAGGCAGACACTTGGCTTGATTTGAAAAAGAACGTAGAAACAAATTTCCACTTGCTCAAAAAATGGTTTGATCATGTCTAGAAATTCACGTTTCTCGTCAGATCTCCTGTATAAAGAATGTGAATTTATGGATATGAGACAATTATATTACTATTGTACAAACGTGAAGTGTCATTTCAGCAAAAATAAAGCATCATCACGAAACCACGACTATAACATACGACATCGCGACCAACTAACCTTTCCTACTGTTAAAAAGTCAATTACACAAAGAGCATATTCTTTCATGGCAACTAAGTTATATAACACTGTACCTCAGAAAATAAAAAATTCTTATTCCAAACCAATATTCAAAAAACAAATAAGAAAACACATTCTCGAAAAAGATAGACAATTTAAAAAAAATCTGTTAGAATGAAAT